TTATAACCTCTCTGGTGGTGTCAAATTACAGCTATAATTTAAGTGATAATCGATGGTCGGAAAAAGGTGTTCCGTATAAATAGATACGTGTATACACATTGATATTCCTACAAAGACCAACGTAGAGTTGTTAAAACCACCAAATATTAATTAATTACTTTTTCGAATTCCGTATTTCCGGAAATGGTTTTACTGCATTGTCGAAGTTGAATTCTAAAGTAATTTGAATGGTGCCATGTAAAAAAGGAGTAGATAACTAACCAATGCAGAGAATAAAAAAGTAACGAGAATGGTCACTCTCCGCCCCTCCCTAGCTTTAGATACCGCACCGCGCCCCGTATATTGACGGTCACATTGATGGAACAGCCACTAGGCATTTTTTACATGGTACCATTGGAATTACTTTAAAATCCAACTTCGACATCCTAGGTCAGTAGTTTTGTCCTGCGATGTAGCAAATACATTTCCGGAAATCCGGAATTCGAAAAAGTAATTAATTAATATTTGGTGGTTTTAACAACTCTATGTCGCTCCCTGTAGCTATGTCTATTACATGTATCTTTATATGTGAAACACCTTTTTCCGACCATTGGTGATAAGACATTATATATTTACTTATTTTAATTTGATATTATTCATCTAAAAAAAACTTGACATCAGCTCAAGTCGTCGCTTTAACAATTTACCGGCTTTATAAATTCAGAAGATATTACGAGTGCCCAGAAACATTCATACGTCTATGAATTTCTACTAAGTAAGATTCTTTTGCAGATGTCACAAATCGGTCTAACAGAGTCAGTAAAAGGTGACCCGCGTAAGTTCGAAGTCTGGCGGCAAGGTCGGTCTGAAGTACACACGATCACAGCGCCCACAATCGAGGCGAAGCGAGCTTGGGTGGAAAGAATCAAGAGAGTGTTGCTTGACCAGTTGAAAGAACTCAAGGGAGAACGCGTCAGGCAATATGGTGCTCATAAGTTAGTAGAAAATATTTTAATCATCCTTTTCAGAGATTCAATACTATTTTTAAAGCTTCGATAGTATTTGAATTTAACTATGTTGTTTTATTTGACGATTGCTTTGTTAACCTACATATAATTCCAATTAGGTATACTACGCTACAGCAATCGTTAGATTGCCCAAGTGTTTTAAACACAAGGTCAATATTTGATTAAGATTACGCAGTGAAGTTCAATATTTAAATTGAATGTCTTGAGAAAATTGTCCGTTAATTTAAATATTGGAAAAAATTACCGTATTTAACTAACAAACCAATTTAATATTTGAGGTTACTGGACTAACGACTTTTTCGAATAATAATTATATTAGCCTATTTTTGTAAAACTGAAATAAGTCCAAATCTTAGGCTTTAGAAAATAGTAAGTGTAATTGCATTAATAATAAATGTCGTAAAAATTGTCGTCTATAATGTTGAGATGAAAACGTTATTACGATGCATTAACATTACACTGTGGGTCTTCTAGCTTACTCTTTAATCAAATTTAAATATTTTTATCTGCATAACTACTAATAATTATTTTATGTTCTCAGAACGCTAATCCAAGCAAGCTCATGGGATGTGGGTATAGCGGGCAACCAGCAAACACGGCCGCATGCTCCACCCGCGAATCCATCCCGTACGGCATCATGCGACAATCACGACGAGCCGTGCTGGTCTACTGACCCCTCTGAAGACGAGGAGGAGGATCATGACCACGCCCCTGTAAGTTTACAAACTTTAAATGCTTTTTGACGTCCGCACACGCTGTGGACATTTTCAAACTTGTGAAATCTAAAATACGTAAGCTTTCTGTGATATTGTTAAATCCTAAATGTCCAGTTTTTGATTTTTTTTGTGTTAAACGTTTAGGAATGTGTAAATTACATTGTGTAAATTGAAATAAATAACGTAACGGGTACTAACATATTAATGTAAAAAAGAATATATATTGTACCAAGAGCTTTTGCTGCAGGGTAGCTTACTTAATACGGGTGTCTAAAATTAATGCCAACTAATTTTGGGTTTGCAGTGTTGAGTGAAGTGAAAACCCACTCTACGTAAGTGTAAAGTGTATTATTAAAGGAATGCGGGCTACATAGTCACGGGTAGCGGCATGATAGGCTGGCAAAGCATCCCGTTCGCACATACCTAATGCTTAAGTGACAAAGCCACAAAACATAATACGAAATGGTTAAGTGGATTATTGGTTAAATTGTGGCAAAATTGGAAATACATATAGGCAAAGAGAACTCGTACTAGTTGACCATATAAACTAGTTAGTCAAGTAGATCGCAGCAAGGTATGGGAACAACGTTTTCGATTGACTGTAACGTGAAACTGTCAACCCTATTGACCATAAAATGTTCAACATAGTTCACAAATCAATACGCAGGGACAAAGCAGAGCGGCAACATTGCTTCCGCTGCCAGCTGCGCTCTACTTTAGTTTATGGTCAACTATACATAATTATACTTATAACGTCATGTGTTAGTACTGTACAACTTCTCCTTGCTCTCTACATGCAAAATAAGGAAACTTCCATCGTCCTACATAGCGCAATAGCGTTCACGCAGTTACTACATAATTTCGCGAACCAACCCATCATCGCTTTTAGTTTCTTTAAAATCTTCAACTGATTTTGTAACACTGGCACGAAGCCTTGCGAATTTAGTTGTGCACTATCCACGTGGCACCTCACAAATAACACAATTAAATTGACGTTGAGGTGGTATAAGTCTTGCAAAATAACCATTCCTCCGGTCGCCATTTTGAAATATGTTGTAAACAAAATGGCTGCCTTGATCTTAAGTTGTGTTGTTCAACAGGTGACGGAGGCCGTCGGTCTCAACGGTACCATACACAGAATGGTACAGTTCTTTTCCGTATCGGGCTCGGCGCATGCCTCATCCACGTTTTACGTGTCACAATACTAATAACCTTTGAGATTATGGCCGGTAGAGGCTTTGTACATATGAAAAGAGACTGAGTTAAAGTCCAAAGTTTTAGTACCAAAGAATTTGACTGCAAATGTGGATAATTCTTGTCGAACATTAACTATCGTGTAAGTTTTGTTTTTGTTTGTTTGTCATTCATTGTCAGTGTGCTTTTTGTTTGATTATGCGCTTGCTTCGATAAAATTTTACATTTTTATTTATCGGTATTGCTATATGTTTAGTAACATGAACTCATGGAACGTATACATATTAAAAATAAAAGGCAATTTGACTTCTCTATCTTTCAATAAATTTAAGTGTTTCGTGGTGTGTGTATAATTAGAGTCATATCACATTTTTCGTTTAAATTGTCAATTTAACGCCATAACATGAATCGAGCACGGCATAGTGTTTCAAGCTTGTACCACATATAAGTTCACGGTCTGAAAGGTGCTTTGTAACATCAATTATCTCCAGTAATATATAATAATTATTCCAATGCTTTAAAAAACATAAGGATTCTAGGATCTACTTTTATTCTACGCTCATATAATCCTACTGAATTAAATCTATAAGCAACAACACCTGTTACTTTACTTTGTCTACATTATATCCATATGCAATATAATATACATAATAAGTACCTGCGTATATTATGTGCTATCAATGTAAGCTTATACTAATGCGTAACTGCATGATTAGAAATAACACAAGGTACTAAAGAGTGTGAAATAGATTCAAATGTGTGTCAAATTAAACACTCTCTGGTAACTTGTCAAACTGAAACGAACACGAAAATTTAAGAATAAGACTACTCACTGGTCTATTTCTTTCCTTACACCATCTTCTAATAAAAATATGAAAAATAGCTATCTTAGGCAATTGTCTATTGTATACATAGACCTATTTGTATGATTGTATACATAATATGCATGCAAAAATAAATAAATTACCTGGTAAAAAAATGTACCGAACGAACAATTTTTTGAACATATTAGGTATGTGGTATGTTGTATTATTATAATATTTTGCATGGTTTAAAACAGCTACGGGAAGCGGTGGAGCGGGACTGCATGTTTTGTAAATTGGGTGGCCAATGTTCTTTCAATACTCAGTGTGATTACTTACTAAAAGAACACAATATGAACATGATTTCAAACATATAACTACATAGGTACTGATTTATCGTTTACAGCATGAAAAGTAATACATAACTTGGCTAATAATATCACCTCAAAAATATATGGAAACGCTAGGTACACAACTTGTGAAGTTTGATTATTTAAAAAGTTCTTTATTCTAACGTTGGCCAATACCATGATACATTTTGAAAAATCGGACATCAAAAATACATCGCTATACGTCACACATAACCACATAACAGAGCGTAAATAAGAGCAGTATGATTGGGTACACGCAGGCAGTGGGGTGCTCGCTGGTAGCGCTGTCGGACTACACGGCAGTGGGCACTAGCGAGGTGTCGTTACGGGAAGGCCAGCAAGCTGAACTGCTCAAGGTTGGCTGCGCTGGGTGGTGGTACGTGCGACTTGCAGGTAAGATAAGACCAATGTGACCAGGTGATTACAGGCACATCGGAATTGTCAACTTATGTCTCAGGGTGACGGGCACAGTGTAAGTGCCCGTCACCCTGACTCAGATTTTTTTTTTGCGATATAATAAAACTCAGGCGCGTACCTTATTATGAGGCGCACGAGTTGATCGTCCGTCACTTGATATTATAAAAAAAAGAAAAAACCACATCTGCACAACGACAACTTTACAGAAAACTGGTTTAAAGATTCTACGAACGAAATTAGTCGATGACTTCTTTATACTTTTATAAAATTTCACATTATGTCTAATTTGTTTCATGTAGTTCATTATTTTTATGACTTTCATGTTATGAAAACACTTTTGACTTATGACCACGTGCTGCTTTATTATGCTAATCATAAGATATTATGCCTTCTTAATCATCAAAACATTTCAAACTCGATAACACTCGACAGTTTCAGTATTTTGCGTATGAAATCCTTATGCAAAATCGCAATATAAATACGCCATTATTTCTCATAAATATGTTTTCATATATCAAGTCTATGAAATTGATGATAAATTAATATGTTCATAGTAAAACATGTTTTTTATTGGCATACTCTATCAGGTGGCCACGGTGAGGGCTGGGCACCAGCGGCGTACCTCGACCAGCGCAAAACCTCGCGGTCGTCGAGCCGCTCGCACGACCGCCTACATGACCACTGAGACCACATGCCACAACAACTATAAAGTGTCTTATAACACGGTGTTTATTAACATTTATGTAGAGACACACCAGGCAAAGGAACCGCAAAGGACCTTCAAAGCAACCACACTCCTAGTGCTTTTTATTCTTAACGTGATGAATCTTCGATAGGTAATCTAACAAGTACTGGAAAGTGGTGTATTTCGGGTAATTAAATATGTACACTATCGAGGGCATCGGCCCTAAGTTACCTGATCCCCAACCGACTATTTGGTTTTGAGTGAAGAAAAATGTTAAACAAACTTAACCTTTAACCAGTGAGTGGTAACACATTTTGATATGACTTTCTTATTGCGTCATCTGTGAAGGACGTTTTAAGAAACTTGTAAGCCAATTTGATCTTTAATTACATTACATAAATAATTTCTGGAAGCTGTAATTCCTTTACATTTTCCTGTTGAATGCGTAAGAAGACTCTCAGAAATAAAAGGTCGGCTGCTCAGGCATCTTAGGGCATCGATTGTACTATATGAACTTGAAAACGTAACGTAATCGAAGATTGCCGATGTATCCTCGTCATGGCATGTTGCAACATTCATAGTTAAAAAATAAATCATTAAAAAATCACTTACGGTTTTAATGGTTCTGTAGAAATCTTGCAACAAATTGACAAAATTCACGTAACCAAATATGTAGAAATTCGTCTTTACAAAATGACATCCGGCACCAGACACCCCACTTGTTGTTGTTAATGTCGAACAATAATATTTGTTAATGTATGTAAATGTTGTTCTAAAAAGCTTTATTGTAAATTAGTCTTAGCTGTAGACATGAGTTATCGTTAATATTATGGTTACGATTATCCAAAGCTATTGGTAGAGTTGTAGAAAGTTGTTAGGCTTGACAAGTTAGTGGAGAATGCCTTATGTAACTTATGCGGTAATTTTCAAACATTCATTCTTGAAATAGGACTGTAATTCCATTGAACGATCAGTGTTAAATTTAGTCCAAAATTTTAACCATTTTACCCAAAGCCATCGTTTTAATTTGGACTAAATTATTTTTAAAACGCATTATTTAGTAACTTGTTAAGCTGGAGTAACCGTGACTGGTTCTATACTTTTTCTGTACATAATTATTTAATTATAGTTATTTATTTGGATGCTAGTTGTGCTTTTGGTGTTATTTCGTGTTACGACTCGACTCTCCATGACAGTTATTGTGGATTTCTATATCCTTGTAATTTAGGGACCCCATTTGCAGTGAACTCAGAAACGTAAATGCATTATTTAAAAAGCTGTTTATTTTTTAACAGACTTTTAAACGATGCACTATGAGGATCTCCTCAATATCATTATTGCTCTGAATTAAAAGATATCACATTTGTTTACGTCTCAGTGTGACATTGTGAATACAGTTCTAATTGAGTAATTTTTGGGTGAGTTTTCTCATCCTAATTTCAGTGGCAATTTTTATTAATTTAGTATTCGAATTCACTATCGTGAAATATTAACTAATATTTCTAGCTACTACACTCGAATATTAAGTAATAGTTCATGATAATATTATGAAATATTTAAATAGTAATAATAATTGCCACCAGAATTAGAGAAAACTAACCTAAAAATTACCCAGTTATTAGTTAACTGCAATTATTATAATCCTGTGCTAAGCCACGCCTAGTTTAATGATCAACATTTCATATCACTCGTTAGTTAACAAATCATACATTATCAACACCTCATCGTTAATGGACGATATAGGACAGATAAAAAAGAATATATGATCAAACGAACTTGCAAAGTGAAGTTCGATCAATATTATATGAGTACGCTATATTCAAAGATATGATAATGTCTTCATGTTGACAACTGAACTGAAGCGACAAAATTATGTGTATATCTTAAAACTACAAGTACGAAATTATACTACTTTGCTAGTCTTTGAAATTGAAAGAATTTAGTGCGTCCTTAACACTTTATGTAAACCAGTAGCAAATAGTTACTAATTAGTTTGAGCTTGGTACATGTTCAAAAGGACGTTAAGCTTGACAGTTTAAATTAAAATTCAAATTGTAGGCATCTACAATAAGAACGGTCCAAAGTCCAAAGTGTCAAGCTTACTGTGCTCTTGATCTTATACGTAATTTACAATGTTGATTTAAATCAATTATTTACACCGCACCACCATATAAAGGAGTCACCACACTTATCAAAGCGGAATCAGCTTGAGTCGGACAGAAAAATCGTTGAACATGCAAGAAGGGCGAAAACGTCGTTGACTCCCTAACATGAAATTTTAAATTGAACTATGTAGATAATTTTTTTCACCAAAATTGTAAATTACGTACATCCGTGCTAAAATCGACGAGTTATCATGAAGTAATTGGAATCATATCATTTGAAATTCCGTGGCCATCATAGTTCACGCTAAATTCTGGCTTACCATGAATGGTACACAAAATATGAAAATTGACTTTAAATTGTTATTGTATGTATTGGTAAATAAGTTAGAAATGAAATGCTTTGAAATTGTTCTTTAAGTCCTAAATTCCTTTAATGTACCATCATTGTATCGTTACGCTACAGTACCTGCAGGTCGATTCAGAACCTTACGATAACTCTGTTGTCGACCGATTCGATTTGATATCGTACGATTTCTTTTCATTTTTATTCACAATAACCGAATCGAACGTTTAACTGTCGTAGTCGAAACCGAATCGAAATGACGTCACACCCGTACGACTACTCGAACTTTTCGACCGGCAAAGGCTACAAACGTTATTCAGAACACAGTTATCGAATGAAATTTACCGAACGTGCGTCCTATTGTTTACAAAGCAAGAATGTATTATGGAAATCTTTTATTATTTTAAATAAAATCTGGATTTTGTTCAATTTTATTAATTTATCATAGTGCAAGACTAATGCATTCCTATATTTTAGGCCTTTAAAGGATTTTCATTTTTCTTATAATCTATTTCACAGACTAACTCCGTAAACGCTGTTGGATAAAGATATCGTATCCGAATCCGAATCGAACGTTTAACTCTGAATGTTCTGAATCGCTCGGAAAGCGTCCTTCGATTCGAGAACGATATCCAATCGTTCGGTTAAAATATCGAAGTTTTGAATCGGGGGCCTGTTCTGCTCTCATTGTGTAAGTGTCGTATTCCAAAACTCTACTCAATGCTCAAGTCAGGACTTGAGTATGTTTTCAAGCACTGGAAATACGACTCTAACGTCAAGGACTTGAGTATGATTTCTAGTGCTTTAATCATACTCAAGTCCTGACTAGAGCATTGGGTAGAGTTGTGGAATACGACCCTAAGGTTAGTATTCCAGAACTCTACTCAATGCTCAAGTCAGGATTTGAGCAGACTTGAGTATGATTTCAAGCACTGGAAATACGACCCTAATGGCAAGGACTCGAGTATGATTTTCAGTGCTCACTGCAATACTCAAGTCCTGACTTGAGCATTGAGTAGAGTTCTGGAATACGACCCTAAATGCATTAACTTTTTCAAATCATAAACCAAGTTTTGCATACAGTCTATGTTCGTTTTGCTTACATTACACAGAATTTGTCTATTTAATTTGTGTTTTATTTTAATTAATCTTTTTACCTTCTTTTTAATTTTTCACGTCACGTCACATAATTCGTCTAACATTTCACATGTAATTAAATTAATTTAAATTTAGTAAGGTCAAGAGCACGTCAAGCTTGACACTTAAGATTTAAATCCAACTCTATGCCGCTTACGATAACAACGGTCCAAAGTACAAAGTGTCAAGCTTGACGTGCTCTTGACTGTACAAATTTAATTTAAACTATTTAAAAGTAAGTGGTGTCAACGTTTTCCCACCTTTGTATTTTTAATCCTTAGCCTTATATATCTTTTATGGTCAAACCCAACTTACTAGCACGTTGCGACGACGCGTATAAACGCAGCATTTGCTCGAGACAATGACAACTATGTACGTTAGTATTGCATATAAAACATGATTTTCATACCTACAGTCCGGATATAACAACTAAGACAACCTGTTTTGTACAACCGTTAGGTAAGCGTAATCTACGTTCGCCTGCACTGGGTGCTGATAAGATGGCTTGACCTATATGCAACCAGTGGGTTAGAATTGAAAAATGTCCAAGAACAGATCGGTATAAAAGTGCAAATATTATATTATACGGCTGTGAAATTCCTAGTGATGAATTTTATAAACATTTTGATTATCTCCTATTAAACAATAATGTAGGATTTTTTAAACCTTCCTTCGTTTTGTACCCGTTTTCCTCTTTATAAGCGCAAGTACTTTCTTCTTCAGTCGATAATATTAAAGTAAAATAACATTGCCTTCATAATATTATTACTAGTTATATAAAAAATACACTTACTTATTCTATTCGATACTTGTTTAAAGTATTTAGTCGTAATTAGTGTGTAACCAATTATTATGAGAATACGTGACGTGTGTGGCGACGTCTTTGTAATGCTTTTGATTTAAAAGGTATCTCTAAATTTCAAAAAATCGTTTCTTCTAAACTAAATCAATAACATAATCAGGTATAAGACCTGCTTCACAGATTTAAGTATTAAAAGCAAATAATTCTACCAGTATTCAGTTTCAACTTTCATATACGAAAATAACTCAGAACATACCGGTAGGCGCTAGTTTTTATGAAACAAGTATATTGAACAACTACGCATCATGTTATGTAGTGTAAAATGTTGCACCGTGCATAAAATTATCGGGTTTGAATCCCACCACGTGCTTAGGTTGAATGAACGATTATTGTCGAGGTAGCGTTTTGTACATGTCATGTAACACGTAGCTGTAGTACAAAGTTCTTTTCATAGAACGTCTCGTAATCAGATTAATATAGGTATGCAGATATTGCGTAGTGTGTTTATGTATTCGCTTGATGAAATTGTGACATTGTTTATATTGAAACTGTGATCCATTGACTAACAACATGATGACACAATTGTTACCATGTAGTATTGTGCAAGGATATAAGTACTTTAATTTTTTGTTAAACAATATCACACAATGTTTAGACATTTTTTGTAGCAGCACTACAGTGCTGTAGTCGCACGCAGCATAGCGCATCTGCAATAATATCTCATGCAATGTCTAGAAGCGCATCTACAAGCGTCTAGTGTGAACGCGCCCTAATATTAACAAAATGTAGCTGTGCAGTATTGCAATTTGAAAGTGATTTGTGGAGAAACATCGATACATATAATGCACAATTCATAATGAATTATATATGACAACTACATTATACTCTATGTTCACTATAGAATAAAGGAAATATTAACCAAACGATTTATAAGCGGAGATATGACAGTTACTGGGGTACTAAAATGTGTATGGCTTTGCCTTCATTCGAGCTTATAAACAAAACCTACCATTCTATAGAAATGTTCAAATACGATTTCATTGGGAATAAATTTCGCTAACTTTTATGCTGATTTTTTATTGATTTACCTATATAGTTACTTATATGCAATATATTTTAGGCTAATTTATTGCCTTGGACAATTATCATTGTATTATTATTGGAATACTTACGTATTATGAAGAATTAATATTGATATGACAAAAATTGTTTATTTTTTGATAACACTATCTGCCGTTTGGTAATTAAACAAAAATTGTTCCATAATTCCATCCACTGTATTTATCCAAGAAAAATATACTCTAAAGAGGAGCACAGAGAGCTCTTACAAAAACAAACAACAGTCATTGAAACATCACAAGAATTCGATTTCAAAAACCATAAGATTTGTACAACATTTTTGCCTATAGTTTAGGATTGATATATATTACATATAAACATATATTACAGTCCTGCTTTAGACCGACTGAAAATCCGACTCTTAAAGATTTCATCGATCTTGTTGAATACGTAATCTGAAGATTTGGCAGCGTCTACTCGATAGTGAAGACCTCTCCTCATGTAGTAATCAACCAAAGGGGCCGTCTGTGCATGGTATGTGGCAAGGCGCGTTTTTAAAGCATCGACATTGTCATCAGACCTTCGAATCAAGGCTTCTCCAGTCTCATCATCAGTCATAGTTTTCTTCGGTGGGTGAAATTCTTCATGGTAACTGCGACCACTGGATGGGTGAATCAATCGCCCGGTGATTCTTCGGATCAATAAACTTTCCGCAATCGCAAATTCAACCACTGCATCTAACTGTGTTTTTTTCTTGGCTAGCAAATCGTCCAACTATGAAGAAAAAAGAAATGTTTCAAAATAAGTTTAAGTAATGAGAATCATTGACCATTGTATTGATGGTATGGTATATGATGGCTGGTATTTATTATTATATAATATGATGGATTACTTATTTATGGTTATCTTAATACATACCAACACATTTTTATGTGGCCAAGTATGTGATGCTAAAACAATATAAAGAAGTCACAAAAAAGCTACTTTTTGAAAAACCAGTGTAAACCTGTGTTTCCACCAGCAAGGACTAAAATTTGTATGATAAAATTTAATCCTCTGCTAGTACATCTTTGGTGGAAATGGTCTGTATTGACGGGGCTATATGTAATGAGAATATGAAATATTTGTTTGTGTAATATTCAAATGGAATCCTACCCACATAGTGTGTACATTCCGCAACAGACACACAATTCACGCATGGTCTCGCGCGATCACGCGTGGTTTCGCGTAAGCTAGCGATAGCTATTAATATCAATCGTGAGATTGTGGCATTAGTACGATTTAAGATTTAAAACATATTTTTCTGCAAATAATTACAAAGTGCCATGCCAATAATTGCATGTCCTGCAGTTCATTTTTTTCAATTTATCATACAAATAATTTATTGGTATTTCAATATTTTTATTTAATCAAACAAAGTTTATTGTTGTAACTTTCATTTGAAGTGCAGGAAAAATAAAAGTGTCAGCAATTTCCTTCACACGAAGAGTACATGCCCGTCCTGAAGTCACTTTATATAATACCCAATAGGTTCCTTAACAAAGGATTGTATGAAAATATACATAGTACTTACAAAAATTTTAAAAACGAAAATCTCATACCTTCTGGGCCTGACCCACAGTCCTAGGGAATCCATCCAGAAGGAAACCGTTCTTACACTGAGGCTCGTCCAAATTCTTATCAATGAGGCCTACAACCATATCATCAGAAACCAGCTTGCCAGCATCTAAGGTCTTCTTCAGGCTGCGGCCCAACTCTGACCCAGATACTACTTCAGCACGCAGCATATCACCCGTTGAGAGATGGCATACATTATATTTCTCTTTGAGACGTGGAGCCTTTGCAAAAAAAAAGAAAAAAGTAAGTTTACAAAAGACAATGTGCAAATTAAGCCTTTGTTATTGAAAAAGCGAATACAAATTGTAATTTGCCTCGATTTTCTAGGCAAATAAAAAATATTGTAGTAAGTTAACAAACACTAACGTTGATAGCACTGTTGTTTGATTCAATAGTTGGTACCAAGAGTTAACAAAAAATAATAATAATTAAAACCATGAAGAATGCCAACAAATTAAGAGTAATTATGTAACAACAACAGCCGATTGTGAATAGAAACTATTCTACTACTATTATTAATGAAAATTATAGTTGCATTCAATTCTATAGCATGTTTAATTCATTGGGTACCTACAAAAACTAACGGTCATAAGAGGTCAAAGGTGCCAAGGACGTATCTTACCTGAGTACCTTTGCCGGACCCTGGAGGACCTAGAAGCACGGCTCTGATGCCGATAGGCTCTTCATCAGGCTTAGGTTTCACTGCTATAGCAGCTGGAGCCATATCAATCGCTAAATGTCTCTATATCCACGAAAACTTGTGTTTTTAGGAACCGAATGAGTTCAAAGTGACCGGCTGTTTTCTTGCACCCGTCACGTGTGCAGTCTATTATAACTACCTAAAAAGTCTACAAAATTACAGTTGATTGCAGCTAACGTAAGCCGACAGACCGACGTGCGTGAGCCCGACATGTGTTGGTGACGTTGATCGATAAATGTCAATATGATGTCAATTATGTCAAAAATAGAGATGCTTTCATGCTGTAAACCTGTAAACGTTTTGTCGATAATAGGTCGTACTCAAAGTTTAAAAATACGAGAGATTCATACACACCTATGACAGAATTTTGTAACCTAAAGGTTACGGAAACGTAATTCAGTTGAATTATATTCTATTTCAAGTTTATTTTGTAAAAAAGATCTCACGTATCGATAAATTATCTTATATTATTATTGGAAGTTCTAAATTAGGCATAAAATCAACACATGAAGTTTGACACTCTTTCTCTATGCCGCTTACTCTAAAGCCGCTTACATTGAACGTTTCAAAATCCCAGTGTCAAGCTTAATGTTCTTTTGTCATTCCGTTTTTCTTATAACGTTAATTCTATTAAGGGAAGATGCTATATTTTTATTTACTTCTGTTTATTTTTTATTTTTTATTGTCTTTTGGGATCGGATTTTTGGGATAATTATTTTGTGTCCACTGTACTCTTCTCGAACAATGAAAAGAACCAAAAAATATGATTTATGTCAATTATTTTTCATTTCGTTTTTGGGTAATTGAATTTATCTCAAGGCGAATTTAATGATAATAGATGCTACGATCAAGTTAAAAAAAAATTATTATTTACTGATGAATGTACGAACACACTGAGAGTCGTATTCCAGAACTGTACTCAATGCTCAAGTCAGGATTTGAGTATGATTCAAAGCACTAGAAATCATACTCAAGTCCTTACCATTAGGGTCGTATTTCCAGTGCTTGAAATCATACTCAAGTCTGCTCAAATCCTGACTAGAGCATTGAGTAGAGTTCTAGAATACGACCCACAGACAGTAATGATAAAACTGTGAACTACGAAAACTTTACGGTAAGTAAATGCAAAATGATTTGTTTGTTAAGCTGCGAACGCAATTTAATTCTGTTTTAAAACGCCGCGCATAGTATTCGTGTCCAACTCCATTGCTCCAGGTATATTCATCTATGGCTCCAACTGCCCAACAACGTATGTATGTAATGCGTTTTGTTGCGAATTATATTTACCTTAATTTTTATTTCCGAATTTTACGTTGAACAGCTATAATAACAAAACGCAAAATTGACATTAGTTAAAAAATAACCTAGAAATTTGGTGGCGGTAAATATTGCAAGCCTACTATAATAGGTATTATAGTTAAGATTTTACATGTTTTACAATCTAAGTTTTGTGTTTGTAACTATTGTGTTCGCAAGTTATGGTTTCCAGCAACGAAAGGTATAATCTTTTAGCGTACTAAATTATTTTTAACCATTACAATGGCATAAAACTTAGCAGCTTTGGGTATGAGCCTAAAATGCATTGCTTATACAGTTACTGGAAGCGTTTGTGGCGGTGGACAACGTCTGAAAGTCTGACCAGAGATGAATTGGCCACTTTACTCGATAATAAAGCGGTGAAAGACGGATTGCGAGAAGGTCTCGCAAGTTACAAGCTGGCAAAAACGAATACATTTTCTCAACTGCAGGCTAAGCATACTGACCAGGCAAAATTGTTGAATGTCGTAAACATCTTACAAAATTACCTTGTGAGTACCTAATATTATATTATATTTATGTTATTCTAAGTGCTACACCTACAAAAAGTACCTATCATAACCATTAACATAAGTGATGATGAGGTCGACAATATAGCATGCGCACCTATATAATGCCTATTCACTGTCAGCTTGAGAAGGTCTGATTTATAGCGTTTAGATAACAAATCTGCAGATGAAATTTTACTCCACCACTATACTCCATATAAATATGAAAGCATAATGCTTCATGCAAATTATGGGCATGTCTACAACATAGTGATGGATCCCCAGCCTGTATATTCCCCTTGATGGTGGAAAGGGGATAGTGGAATTATTTTATACAATTCCATCACATACTCTCCATGACATGTCCTATGTACCATATGTCATTCTTTTAACAATAATTTGTTTTATTTCAGGACAAAGACTGTTTCCAAATATGGGAAATAATAAAACATTACCTCAGTGACATTTCATGTGGGACATCAGCCAATGCTCTTAAAAATGTAGCTTTTGTAGACACCAGACCAACTGTCCTTCTTTCACACATATGGAACTTTTATCATGCTGAAAGGCTCTTTGTTCTTAAATTGCTGCAATACATAATCCAATTCAAAGACAACACAAATCATAAATACAATGAACAGTTCAAAAAAGTCATCGATGACATTGGGATGGATACTCTAAAAACATCTCTATTGAATCAGTTTGAAAAGCTACTTTCTGTTGCACCTCCTCCAAGAAAAATACAAAGCGATTTTTCAAGTGAAACTGTCAGACAGGAATGGGCGGAATCTAATCTTCGTGAACAACTGGCTATATTACAAATCCTTTTGTTAATTGCAAATGAAAGTGCCTTTTCTGACAATGAATTTAATAGGCTTTTTGACTTGTTTAGAAAACATAGCTTTGGAAAGACTCAAGGGTATAATGATTTGCTGGAAGAGAGACATAGAGAGCATGGCCTGAGGATAATGTATATGGAGGTGTGCCTGTTTATGGTCATTTTGGATGACAGTAAAATGTAAGATAATGTTTTGAATATTTAAGAGCACATTTTGTCTGTGGGCGCATTCCTATTATGTTGTGACGACAGATACTCGTGCAGTTTAAAGTGTTGTGGCTTGTACGTTTAAATGAAGTTGTTCACATGTAGTACAACACGATTAACTGTCGTTCATAACTTTTATGACGTTACAAGACTGTCAAGACAATAGAAAGATCTAGAATGACAGTCATAGGATAAATAAACTGTCACGATAAAAAGTGATGACACAATATTCAGAGCTACTATTGTTGTCACGTTTTATTTATAGTTGTCTCATATCTGCAAACGATAAGGCAGCTGCCGTGAAATGATAAATTGTTGTCACGATCCAGTGAGAACAGCAAGGCATGAATGTCGTTTATCGATAAAAAAAGTCTACGAATCTGTCACCGCAGATGCTCGAGGTGTGGGCTCAGGCTAGACGCTACAGTCGTCTAACGCTAAAATAAAACGTTACGACATAATGGGAACGCGTCTTAAGCCTCCTGTAACCACACTTGTTGGAATGGAATTTCATTAATCCATGCAGAAAAAGTATGTCTATGTAATTAAATTCAAAAAGATTTTGTGCATTTGACTTCCGTGATCTGTGTAAAATTCTTTTTCACTCTTGTGGTCTTCAATGTAATGCAAATTCATATAGGTAAAATGTATTGTTATTGTATTGGAATCGATTCCTAATTTATTTTAAATGTAAAGATTTGTTTACACCAGTTTTCTAAGGGATAATGATTTGTCACTTTGTTTCCAGCTCCCAACTCTCATCATGGATAGATAAAACAAAAGAAAGTGTGGAATATGAACTAACAAAGTTGCACATGAGCTCAGAACACAGTGCTCTGCTTATTTCTTGGATGATGTTAATGTTGAAGGTGATGATAACAATCACAGACATATGTAAAGACTGTAACTGCAAAACCTACCATTTTTTTCTCCACCTATTTATTGTACACGTATTTCGAAGCGACTTTTTAGGAGCTAAATTAAATATTTGTTTTTTTTTCTCTAACAAACCAACATGTCGGGATCTTTATAGGTCACTGATCACGGCTGACTCTAAATACTTTGTCCTTCCAGGAAAAAAAGTATCATTTTGTCCTATCTTCCTTGAAGTAATTTTGTTAATTTGTGTGATGCCATAACCGGGACAAAGTTCCAGAATTGTCTTGGTACAATCTTAAAAGCCTATTTATACTTAATTGAGCCACGGACTGTATATTCTGCCCCCTGACCCTTTAATTAAATGTAGGGTAGGCTACTGCTGGACGCCCATCTGTATTACAAGTACTAAGTGTCATCTTTAAATTGTATGTTAAAATCTCATTATTATATGGTAATTTACATTTCAGAGTGAACAACACATGAAGTTGTTCGAAAGTCAGTACCAGCATTACGGAGCAACAGCATTGAAAATGCACGTTTTTGAATTCCTACAACAAATGCTCAATAACTCTGTTTTTTCGGTAAGTTTTTACCTAAACAAATGTAAAGTATATTTATTAAGTAAATCCGCTATAAATCTTTATTATTTATTTTTTCAGGACAAATCAAAATGTGCCCTGGTGGCCAGAAAGCGTGTTTTTCGATTGCTCAATGAACTCTGCAACAAATTTGACGGCGATGGTACTATCAGCCATCAACCTGGAGTTATGAAACTTTGCGCAGATTTGATACAGTCCCCAACCATTGCCTGTGAATTTTGGACATTGTACAATCAAGATGATGAATATGGTGTAGTGTCGATTTGGAATTCTGCTTTGGAGTTCTTCCCCTTCAACTTTAGTGCGCTTTCGATTTTGGCCGCCGGATTGGCTCAGGCTGGGAAGTGTAGTGTTAGAAATGTAAGTATAAAAGCGTCGATGAATTCAACTGCTGTTTAGTTCTCTAAATATAATTAATGTTAATGTTCATAGCTCCTTGATATCTGACTAATTAAATTTCATTACCAAAAGTTTGTTTGTAAGAGAAAAAGTAAAAATAAGTGGTTGTGTATAATATTATGTCAATTATTTCTGCCAAAATATTAATGAATAATATTAATGATATTTTGATTATAGTGTTCCATGGCAGAATAACAGTGAGGGCTATGTAATTAGCATAGTCCTCAGAGTCCTGAGTCAACATGCTTTTGATTACTTTTTTTGTGTTATTTAGGAATTATGTGATTTTCTGTATCTGTTTATAATTTATATATCTTGCATGTCAAATAAAGTCGATTTTATTTATTTATAATATTTTTGTGAATGTTACCTTTATGTTTGTGGTCTTCCAGTTAATAGCAGAACTGAAAAACTTACCTGTGTACACCGAAATGTACAACCCAAATTCAGTGCCAATAATGTCCTTGCAAGCTGATGATGCTCTCATTGGCCGCGATTATTACCCTCTTGGAGACCCTTCGTATCGCATTGAGGCAGGCTCAAAGGCCACAATAATGGAACGAAAAGAGGGAACCATGATACACTTTCGCACACCATATTCTTATTGGACCATCTTCAATAGCGAAATCGAGAAAGCACTGGACAGGAAAGAACATCATCAACAAAACATCAACGCTACACTACAAAGGGTTTACGAAGGAACTAAAGTTTTGAAAGGTGTACTCACAGCTTTAGTTGAGGATAAAGAAATCCCAAAATATTTGGTTACGCCCAGTGAAGGAGTCTTTGATGTTCTTGTGAGATTCATGAGAGCAGAATCACCGCCTTTAGCTCTTTTAGTTGAATGTGTTGAAATTTGTACTACCCTGATTCCAATATTCCTTAAAGAAGTTCATTTGAGGTAAGAAACGTCACTATTTCCCTGTTTTAGGTTTTGCAGTCAGAAAAATATTGTGTTTATTTATTAATGCAAACACTTGGAAAAAATTCCTACGATCCGGCTGGATTCGAACCAGTCCCATCTTCTAGCAAACCGTGCCAGATGCTATGCCAACTAAGCCACGGAACGAACCAGCCGACCTTACGAATTTTGCTATATGCTTGTTGCAGATCTTTGTTTTGGTTTTTTTAATGACTTTTTGCCGTAGCGCCATCTGTGAGAAGTCTATTTCTTCACTCAGCCAGATACCTTTAAAGCTATCAACAGCTGGCTAGAGAGGTCGCTTTAATAATTGTTATATTGTTATTATAAGTATGTGCTTTATTTCAGACTTATAAACACAGGTCTTCTTCCCCGAATAGTAAACTACCACCTGACTTACATTGAATACGCGAATGGTGCGTCATTTGATTCAGCTGCAGTCGGTTCTTATTTAGTGACGATTGAACAACCCAGTGGAAGCTACAACTTCCTGAGTGCTTATATTGATATGTTGTATGCTTTTCATGAGGTACTATACCTTTTACTTTTCTTTTTTATATATTTTCTTTTAAAATTTTATTCAAAGTGTTACAAGTATATCTTTGTTATAATTATTAATACCAAGATCGATATCCGGCCGGATTCGAACCGACGTCTTCTAGCAAACCGTGTCAGATGCTATGCCAACTAATCCACTGAACGAACCAGCGGACCTCACGAATATTTATATGTGCTTGTTTTGTCGGATCTTCGTATTTGGTTTTCAACGACTTTTTAGCCGCAGCGCCATCTACAAGAAATCTATGAAAGTTAAGTTAGGTTAGGTTTATATTTTTTTGTTACAATAATTGTTTTTTCTTCAGGCTTCAACCGAAGATCGTATTACAATCGACATACTCCTCCCTGGCCTTGTTTTAATCCTGCGCGAAGTATTTCCCAATATATGCGGCTGGCGTTACACTAATACTGGCGTACGACGTAAATTAGTAGAGAAATGCGCCAAATTTCTCACATCTGTTCTTCAACAAAGTAAAGACGGCAACAGCGTAGAATTATTGAAGAAGACGTGTATCTACAGCTTGTTGCACACGGAAAATGCATTGGAGTTGTTGAAGATTATTTCTATTGGTAAGTGGAAGTATGACTACAATTTCCTTCATAGTTTCAAACACAATTACTTGTTAATTTTGTAGATGCTTTATTACCGCAACATTATCGATAGTCCCACATGATGCAACTTTTTCAGGGAACGACAAATTGGAACAAATGATCCACGATGAACCAAATTGGACATCAGGCACAGGGTCCCAATTCTTATCAACCATCCAGCGATGTGTGGCAATCATAATGTTTTCGCTAAAATTGAAACACATGGTCTCTAAAGGAGAAGTGACGCCTCTAGAGCGTTTGATTTTCGCTCAAAACAAACAAATGGACACGTTGAAAGTGGTGCCAAAAGTGACAAGTTATATTAACCATGCTTTTAATAAAAATCTTCCAGTATTGTGCTGTCGACTGTTGAAAAGATTTGCCGAGGTAAATACTACACTATTCAAACTTGTACATTTCAGTAGGTAAGGGCGCGTTCCCATTATGTCGTAACGTTTCATTTATCGTTGGACGACTATCGAGTCTAGCCTGTTCCCATATCACGAGTATCTGTCGTAACGTGTCGTGGACGTTAATTTTATCGTTGAACGACTGTCGTGACTAGCTGTTCCCACTAGATGGTGACGAAAATTTATCGGTTCACGGCAGCCGCCTTGTCGTTTGCACGACAGAATCGTTTAAGCTATCTGTCTTCACATTTTTATCGTGACGTTTTATTTATCGTCTGACGACTGTCGTTCTAGCTCTTCCCATTATCACGACAGTCTGTCGTCGTAACGTCAAAAACGTCGCGAACGACAATTAATCGTGTGATACTATATGTGAACAACTTCATTTAAATACCACGACACTTTAAACTGCACGACATAATGGAAACGCGCCCTAAGAGGTAAAGATTAAATTCATGTTTTGGAATGTAGATGTTTTTACAAACATTGCTTTAGGCTGCGTCGTTTGTTTCTAACTTAACATATTTTATTTGCCCTTATGATTGATTTTAAATGCCTAATTAATAGCCTCTTTAAAAATTACCATTTGGGACTTAAGAGTCGATACTACCTCTGCTCGAATTCATATTTTTCCTGTACTAATACGGTCCATTTTGGTTGGGTCGAGCGCCAGTGACACTGGCTTTATTTCAGAATTTACTTTTTTACTAACTAAATTAAAGCCATTTGATACGAGTTTTATTTAGTTCAATTGATATAAAAAAAATCATTAGTAGTACAGTACTTATTGAATACAGTGGTTTTCTTGTAAAATTTCCATGTAAGTTTGTGTTTTCTTTCTATCGTGAAAATTTTTAGGAATTGTGTTTTCATACCATACAGTAATCAGTGTATATCCTCAATTTTACTATATATGTATTTTTTCGAAAGTGATTGATTCAACACTTTCACTGTTATGCGGAATCAACCAAAGCTATTTGAGGTTGTATAGACTATAGATTTATAATCATCTGTTTAGCACATCACTAATAATACTTTTTTTTAGGATTTCCAAATGTCTCTCTTCGCCTCTTTAGACATGACAGCGTATCAAGTGAGAGTGATTTTCCTAGATCGATTAAGAGATCAATACGAAACAATAGAATTGAAAGTTGCTATCTTAGAATTTGTTGCAACATGCATCGGGAAGCAACCGGGCCTAACCGAAGCATTCTTCATGAACAACCATGAAAATATGAAGAACGATGAAAAGGATAAGACCGCAGAAAAGAAAAACATAGAAGACGATAGTTTTGAAGGTATTCTTGGATACATGGCAGACTATTTAGGAACTGTTAAAGAGGTAAGTGTGTTAACTGATGATTTACCAAGGAGTACCACAAGGATCAACACTACGTCTAATTTTATTTACAAATTATTTCAGGATGTGAAATTACTTCATAGCCCACTTCTTGGGTGTATTATGGAACTCTTTCACGCTTTGTGGAAGAACAATATGCAGATTTTAGTAAAGAAACTTCGAGAAAATCCAAAGTTCTGGGAACACCTTACCAGCCCTTTGTTTAGTGATATCCAACCAGGCTTAAGAACATACACGCAAATATTTAATGTCCTTGGCATTGAACTTTTTGTATCAAGAGAAAAAATTGATACAAACCTTAAGGAAATGCTTGAAGAGTTTTTCGATGTTGGCAAGAAACATCTAGAGCAATGGATTAATCACATTTTCTCCTTTAAAGGCAGAGACGATTCTGTAGAAGCTGTGGATAAAGTGCCTATTTGGTTAGGATTGCTAACGTCCTGGAAAGATTTCACAACGATATTCTGCAAATGCCTGCCGTTTAAGTTGAATATTGCACACAAATCTAAATTGGTTGCGTCTTGCTTAAATGCATTAATGAATGAACTAGACGAATTGAAAGACGGTCGCTTAGTAGTCATCTTAGCTGAATTGTACGTAATCATGTTGGCCAATTGGAAAGACGATTGCTTTGACAACAGAAAAGCGAATGCAAAACAAATTGATAACTTGCTGACTAATACAGCTATAGTCTATGAATGTCTACATCCACGAGCTATCCGCGCTATACTTTCAATCGGAACTGTGGCCATTAGTATATTGGATTATAAAATTAAAGCGAATAGCGTCACAGCGCAAAGTGTTATTCGAGCCGTGACTAACATCAACAGCATAGAGCTTGAGAAACTGTTTGATTACATAAAAGATGAACCGCGGTCCGAGACTCAAGGAAACGGGCACCCATTGAATGAGGACGTACCACCTGTGGTGTTGTCCCTCGCTATGCTAGAACAATGCTTGGACTTGTACGACGACATGTTCACAGGACTGTCTCAATGGTTCCAATCAAGCAGATTCATAAACAAGCTTTTGTGCTGTCTACAAATATGTTTGCAGAACAGACGTCATTACCAAACGTCTCTGGCCGCATTACGTTGCCTGACAGCTTATTCCAGGGGTCCTTTCTCGAAGGATTTGTTACTAAGTGACGTAGACCAGTTTCTGTGGCTGCAACTGCTTCCTCCGAAGATTGACCCGAATGGGTCGTCGCCTACGGTCTGGAAACCTCAAGAATGGTGGCGTGTGTATGCGTATAGCTTGGACTTCATATCTATGATGGTGATGAAACATGGGCAGTTCTTTGCAAGTGACGCAATCACATTCGTTGGAGTCCATTTGGAATATTTGATCGAAGCTGTTCTATTACCTCGTCAAGTCGCAAATATTGACGCTCTGAACCTGTGTGCATCTACCCTTATCCTGGTAGTTCAGTTAGTAAAATTTGAGGCTAGGTGGCGGCTACAAAATATAAACTCATTGAATGGAATCATGGTGAGATTACTTTCAATATAGTTTTGTACATTGTAAAATTTTGCATCTTGTCTTATTCTTGGTTTTATTCCACAGCGAAGCATAAGCGCATGTCTATATCAGTGTGTGACAATGATGATGCGAGCTCGACGCTCTTCAGATCCAATGCTGCAATCTACTGACGAGGCTCTTCACCAAGCCCCTGTTCTCCAACGGTTAGTGACATTATTTCTTTACCAATAAAGGCACTTTCTGCTAATCACCATCAACATAATCATCAGTCCAAGGCAGGCGCCTTAGCCCAATACAGGTTGGGGATTTGACACGTTTTACAGTTTCATCACTGTTTTTCATTAGCTAGAAATATTGCTACGTATACTAAACAGTCGCAAATGTACGTAATGTATAATAATAATAATTTATTGATCAAAGAAAAATGAAATACAATGGCATTACAAGGCACAACATAGAAAGAAACATAAAAATATAGTAAAGAAATGCCAATACTTGTGATTCCCTAACTCCTAAACTAGGTAATCCTGTATCTTAGGAGTTAGTGATTCCTTCAACATTGAGTGCTTAAATAGTACACACGAATAGCTTCAGTAGCAAATAAGTATACGTAAATAAGTGTATTGAAATAAGTGTACTGTAATAAGAGTTTTACCTTGTAATTATTGTAGTGTGTATTAATTGAAGTGTGTGTTTTGGGTGTAAGTGTGTGGAGTGAATGGAATGATGTGGTTTTCTTCATTTTAACATATTTTCTATGTCATTGTAATTTAGTGTTAAAAGTAATTCTTGAAGTACTTTTTTAAGTGTGTGTTTCGGTAGGGAGTAAATCGGACTTAGTTTGTTCATTCTATTATATAAGCTACAGCTTAGAGCATTGTATTGTTGTTTGGCCCATGCGGTGCGACATTTTAATGGAGGACACATTTGTGCACCCCTTCGTTTGTTTGCAGTGGCAGTAGAATAAGGTAGTGACCGGTGTTTGCGTAGAAGCGTCCTTAGCACAAACAGTTGTCTTACTGAAAGTACTTTACATTCATTGTATAGGTTTGCTGTTGAGAATGTTCGTTTTTTAAAGGTCATAACTTTGAGAATAGCCCGCTGAGCTCGTTCCAATTTTAGAAGAGAGGTCTTAGATGCACCACCCCATACCGGGATACAGTATGAAATGACAGACTGGCATAGTCCTAAATATACCATGAAGAGGGTTTTGTGGTCAGCTGAGTGGCGGAGATTTTTGAAAAAGTAAATGAGGCTTCTGACTCTGGTTGAAAGGGATTTAATTTGGACGTGCCAGTCAAGTCTATCAGTAGTATGACACTTAAATGAAAAAAAAAAACAATGTACTCCAATAAATCAATAAAGTAACCATTTGTAAACTAACAACTCGTCGAGACTTAGTAAGGGCACGTTCCCATTGTGTCGTGACGACAGATAGTCATACGGTTTAGTGTCGTGACTTGTATATTTAAATGAAATTATAGAACAACACGATTAACTGTCGTTTACGACTTTTTGACGTTACGACGACAGACTGTTGTGACAATGGGAATAGAACAAGAACGACAGTCGTCTGACGATAAATACAACGTCACGATAAAAATGTTTGGATCAGTCCATCCGTTTTTGGGTGTTATAATGCACGAAGCACTCCGCCATAGTATAAGACAAATATGGTGCTTCTTAAGTTTTCGCGATTGTGACACATTTATAATGTGTAGTTTCATTTCTAATGAAACTATTGTTTCGGATCTATTTCGCGTATATTGATTTTTTAAAACAAACCAACGTTACGAGCCCTTTACTGATCCCACGATCACGGCTGGCAGAGAGGGTGAAGTCATCCATCATCAACCAGTTATGTCTAATATTAATGCAAACCACCATAATATTCTGAACCATAGGGTGATAAAAAAAAATCACAGTCCATTTTTTTCCTGTGCATATGATTCAATAATAGAACACGTTAGTGAAATAAAACAAAAAATCCCGTTGTTTTATGTTAACATTTCCCAATAATTTCTAAGGCGTGGTTACCTCAAAATTCGCCATAACTTATTTATGTATTTGTTAAGTATTTGAGACCGTGTATTTTTTTATTTTTAACAATATGCTCCTTTAAAATGGTCAGTGGCTTTTTTTAACACCCAGGATATAGTTATAGAAGTTATTAATATAAATAGCTTATTTTCAATTTACAAAAGAACATTCCAATTTACGTGACAAACGATTTAGATCTGTAAAAATTGTTTAATTTTTAATTATGACCCTTTTTTGCGTCTCGACTTAAGGCCGGAACAAGTGCCAGATTGACGAATTAGCCTCTTTTTAAATTAAATTCCTAATAATACTAATAGTCCATTAATCACAAAAAAATATATGATTGCTGGTAGTCCTTGAATCATTGAACGTATTGAGCAAAACTTCAATTTATTAAGCTTTTTGTATAAAATAAAATTTTCAATTACGTCCTTCAAATTGAATAAAAAGCAATTTCTATAAATTAAAAGCATGTAAATAAAAAGCATGTAAAGCATACGTCCGTTGTTTATAAAATTTACATGAAAAAATAGATAATTTAATTTCAAACAGTATGTATTGTTCCCTTTTTTTTAACTTATATAGTTCATAAGTTAAGTGTTATTATTTGAAAAAAATTATTCATTCTCACTCGCGAGGTCTGCGCGCACTACGCTCAGTCGCCTTTCAGATCTCTTATTAGTTTGTGCCTTTCAGTCTTTGCGACGGGTGGACGGGTGTGTTTTTGAGCGGGTTTATGCCACACAAAGTTGCTGTTTTTGATTAATTTCACTTGTGTTTGTGTTAAATTTAATTTGTCTGTATATTTTTGACTTTGTTTTTATATTTTAGATTTATAAATTCATTATTTCGTTATATTTACATTGCATCTTTTTTAATAACAACCAAAGACTAGACAATATAGATATGCCAAAATAAATCTAAGATGAAGTGTGGAATTTGTACAATATACATGCAAATAATATGGCACTGGCTGAGAAGGTTTAGGTGTTCTGGAATAGAAGGCCTAGGTGTTCTGGGTAGTGACGCGAAGTTAATTCCGTTGCCCTTTATCTCGGCCGACCCGATTCCCGGTAGAACAAATTCTTTAAATGAACTTCCTGAACTTGGGTCTGGTCTGGGTTTCTGGTGATGCCTAAGTTTGGATTCAGTTTCTCTGGCACTCATAACGAGTACAGGGAGTTCCCTAGTTTGAGACCAGGTGGTTGGCAACAGAAAAGACAAAAGTATATTTCCCAAATTGATACTATCAGGAAATGAACCCGAGACCAAGAGCTACGGAATACACTACGCGGTATTACCCAGAACACCTATTAGCAAAAAACCATTTTAGGAAGGTTCATTTCCCAAAATGGTTCTACCGGGAATCAAACCCGCGAGCAAGAGTTACGGAATACACTCCGCGGCACTACCCAGAACACCTAGGCCAAAACCATTTCAGAAAAGTTAATTTCCCAAATTGGTTCTACCGAGAATCGAACCCGGGATCAAGAGTTACGGAATACACTCCGCGGCACTACCCAGAACACCTAGTCCACAACCATTTTATAAAAGTTCATTTCCCAAATTGGTTCTACTGGCAATCGAACCCGCAACCAACAGTTACGGAATACATTCCGCGGCACTACCTAGAACACCTAGGCCAAAACGATTTTAGAAATTTTCATTTCCCAAATAGGTTCTACCGGGAATCGAACCCGGGACCAAGAGTTACGGAAGATACTCCGCGTTACCACCCAGAACATCTAAACTAAAACCATTTTAGAAAATTTCATTTCCGAAACTGGTTCTACCGGAAATCAAACCCAGGGCCAAGAGCTACGGACTCTTTCCAGAACACCTAGGCCAAAACCATTTTAGAAAAGTTCATTTCCCTAATTGGTACTGCCGGAAATTGAACCCGGAACCTTCTCATGTGTGCTTTATGTAAAATCTACAAATCGCTTAAAACACGACCACACACACAGCATATTTCCGTGAGAAGAAATATTGACTTTATTTAACACATTTGAAGTTCTATATTGCATTGCTATTTCCAAAGTTCGCCCTAAGCAGTCCGATGTCGCTCAGCCAATGTTTGCCTTTCAAAGAAATATACCTTATTGTTGAGAAGCCTAGTCACAGTTTGTAGTGCCCGTGGTGGCACAAGCTGGTGACGTCAGGCACCGCGGAACGCAAAGACATATCCACTTTATTTAGTAGAAATGAAACTATACTGCATTGCATTTTCCTCCCACCGCCGCTTGCTGCAGTTTTGTTTTAAAGGAATAAGAAAACAAAGAAAATAAAACCACCACTGATCCAGAAAATATCGCAAATATTTGTTCTCGTGACAACAAACCCATGCTTCAATTAGAAAATAGTACTCCAACTTCAATTAAACTACTTGTTCTCGCTATTTACATTTTGACGCTTTTTAATGTTAACAATATAGTTAATAAAGTACCTATTTTAATGTATATTTATTTGACCTCGCGCAAAGTACGTATCGTTACACTTTACTGTGTACTTCTTATTGTTGGAATTTCCATCAGTTAAAAACAAATTAGTCGTATTGGTCGTAATCACTTTTTTTTTATTATTAATTTAAGTGTTTATTTACCTATTGTATAAAACAAATTGGATAAATAATACATAAAAGTTATACTTTCAATGACGCACAATTAATTAGTAAATATTGACGTTTGTTACATGCATTTAAAATATAGCGAATAAAAGTATTTGTTTTAATTTTACTACTCTTTTCTACTTCTCCTTTATAGTTGAAAATAGTAGTATTAGTTGTTAATTGATAGGATGTAACTACCGAATCATTGCAAGATTTATCTAATACTCACTATTTATGCTATTACGATTTTGGCCATAAAATATTATGTAATGTTTATTTTATACGATGGTTTATTCTCGATTGTCTATGAGGGAACAACAACGTAGGTATAGATGGCAAAAAAACATTTATGACACTTCTGTATTTTAATTTACAACTTATCTTTATTTGACCGTGTGTTAGTACAAGCGAGTGGTCGATAGATGGCGTATCAAATTGTTACTACTGCCACCTACTGCTTAGAGGTCAAAGTCATTCGCGACTGTTCGAGCCGTAATAAAGTCGCAGGTGCATATCGCCCGTCGAGTATATATGTCGCCACATGTATTTAAACAATCAATCGCTCTATTGAGAGGTAACCATTCTCGAACTTGACCATCATCGCGCACTTTTGCTATTAAAAAATACAATTCTTTTCTTATTTTTCAGAATCCTGGAAATATTGCATATGGCGACTTTATGTCTGTTGTCGTTTAGTCCGGACCTCCTATCTCTTCTCGCGGATCCCGGATTGGATTTAGAAAGATGGCAACCCCTGGTGGAGCTCCATTTTGGCGCGCCCAAGATTTCTTACGAACCATTCCCACAGCTTACATTTGGGACGCTTCTGTGTGCTATAGCAATTCTTACCAGATCTCTCAACCACGTAAGTTTTATGTGTCTTGTATGTTATAATTTGTTTTAATAAATACTTATATTAATTGAGGCTACATTGATTGAAGCCATCAGCGCAAAATTGGTTTAACCCACTTCTATTTTTTTTTATACAATATTAATTTAATTGATAATAAAGTACATAATTATTTATATTTGGATGTTATTTTCATGTATAAAGAATATACAATAATATTTTTTTATACTTCAAAACTTCAGCTACAGCTAGCACGAGAGCTCCTTGTGAAAGAGTTCGTCCAGGGAAGTACTGCCACATTACCTATTTCTGCCGCCAGGGTGCTGGTGAAATTACAGGCACATGTGTACAGTGTTAGTGCCCCTCAGATATTTGCAGTTTAAAGCTCTGAGTGAAACTGCAACTGTTATGGACAGGCGTGTCGCTACCATCAGGTGCACGACTTGTTCGTCCCGTCACTTAATATTATAAAAAACTGTACTTTAGTGTTATTTAAACTAATATTGTAGAAAAGAATAGTACAATTAAGAAGAACACAAACTTAAATTCTACTCTATATCGCTTACGTAAGCCGTAAAAATGGCTATGAAGAACGCAAATTAACAAATGTTATTTCTCTGACTGACAAAGGCTTACCATGCGGAAGAAGGCAGTGGCTCCCGTTCCCCACGCAGTCGCCGCCGCCTGTGCTCCTGCGGCAGCCCAGGGGACCCGCGCCGCGTCAACCGCAGCGAATCTATTACCAGCATCTCGTCGGCTGCCAGTGCTGTGCACTGGCCTAACGAAAAGCTGGTCGCTGGTGCTACCCAGGCAGCTGCTACTTTACTCGCCTCTCAGGTATACATATAATTGACAACGCCATGAAAAGAAATGTGCCAGATAACTAAACCAATTACCTGGTAATAAACTTAGTACTATGAGTACCATAGCAACGGTATTCAATCCGGGGCACTAATCGGAACACCCAGACCAGAACCAATTCAGAATAATTTGTTTCCCAAATTGGCTCAAACGGAATCTTTTCATCAAGTTCCCCAAGTGCTAACCGTTCGGCGTAAGGCGGCAGTACTTCCCTGGACGAACTCTTTATAAGGAGCTTTACTGTTACTAAAAATAACTTTTGTTTTCACAGGCACTGTTAGCTGTTCGCGATCCAAAAGTTCCTGGACGTCACAAACAACTGATCCGTCGTGAGCTGGGCTCTGAGTTGACGCTGTACCACGACTTCGTTCGCAAGAGAATTCTGTGTGCTGCACATGTGCGTCCTCATCTTACTCGGAACAAACTTGGAGCTTGGCCATTAGAACCCAATAAAGAAGAGGTGAAAAAAATCCAAGAAGCTAGAAAGGATTCTGTTAGTGACGACGATGATAGGTCTGTGCCGCGCCCGCCACCTCCGAAGCGATCCTCGCAAGATTCCATGCGCGAGTACATCCTTCGTAAGCATTACCTCGACAAATGCGCACAAACACCAACCAAAGGCCCACCTTCCCCTGTATCTCACTCTACACCGGCAACAGACAAGAAAAAAGAAGCTTCTAGAAGTTCGAAAAGAGTTTCTTGGGCAGAAACTACGAGAGACAGCGATGATAGTCTGGATAGCTCACTAGAAGAAATCGAGCCTGTTTATTCAAACCTAACTGATGTACTAATCAATAATGAGGACGATTATTTCCACTTTTTATCAGTTGTGTTTCTTTATATTTGCCAAACTGAATTGTGACTTTTTATTGTGTTAATTATTTTTTAATGTATTAAGTAATTGTAGTAAGATATTTTGAATAAATAATGTCACCATGTACCGATACATATTTTATTTATTATATAATTATTTTTGTTTCTCAAGATTGTTGTGAGACAATTTATTAATACTCAAAACATACTCCAGCATGTACATATATATCACTCATTTTTATAGGGTGTGCGGTACAGAATGGATAAGCCTGAAATGCGTTATAGTAGAGCTTATGTACGTTAAAATAAAATATAAAGAAAAATATATCTCACGTAGTACCTAAGATATATATTTTTTTTCTTTACATTAATTATTTTCACCGTGTTTTACGTTTTTGTACACCACGACTACAAGTTAATCAATTCCTTCGGTTTTTTGGTGTCATAATATTCTACATTGACTGTGCTAATAGATAGACAGTAAGGAATCAATCCTTAATCGCGTATATTGATCAATTTTCAATCTTTTCAAAGTTTTTGATTCACAATTAAAACTGATAATTATGATAAATTTATAGGGCATATGGGTGAGTGAGTGGGTGGCTGTGTGGGTGAGTGCGTGAGTGAGTGGGTGTGTGTGTGTGAGTGAGTGGGAGAATGCGTGGGTGAGTGAGTGGATGAGTGGGAGATTGCATGGGTAAGTGCGTGGCAGTGGGTGAGGTGGTGGGTTAGAGGGGGTCAGGGTGTGGGTGAGTAGGTTTGAGGTGAGTGAGAGCGAAACCGCTAACCCACACCCAACCCACCGCCTAACACACCCCCTGAATATACAGGGTGTCCCAAAACTCAATGATAACCTGAGAACAGGCTGTTGCCTAGTTTAAAGCAACCCAGAAATAAAATATTTTACGAAATCAAGTCATGGTTTTTTTGTGATATTTTAATGAAAAATGTTGAAAATGTACGACCTGTACGCCATTTTTAAGTACTACAAATACAAATTTGCTAATTTTGCTGGTCTAGTTTTAATACGGTAACCTAAATAGCTCAGGTAATGACCAATGCCAAGAAAACCCTAATTGCTAAAGTTCTAGCTCAAAAAAATTATGTATTTAATTTTTTTCTTGTAATTTTTGGCAGATTTTTCTTCAAGGTAACTTTGACACCCCATACTGTAAAAAATATGTACCTAAAATTAGACTATAGACTACCATGGCAACTCCTTACAAAAATTGGCGCAACTAATCAAGACTCTAAAATGGTACAAAACCTTCTACGTCATGCTTCTTGGAAAAAAAATATTTTGGTTTTTCTGAAAAAAAAAGAGGCCAATTTAAAAAGGTTACCTTTTCTAAGTGAAAATGGCTTTCAGTGCCTCTAAGGTTAATTTAGGTTTCATATCCATGTAGTCGGAGTTCTTTTATTTTTTCCATCCTCTAAGGGTCGTATTCTAGAACTCTACTCAATGCTCAAGTCAGGACTTGAGTATGATTCAAAGCACTAGAAATCATACTCAAGTCATTGCCACTAGGGTATTTCCAGTACTTGAAATTATCTCAAGTCTGCTCAAATCCTGACTTGAGCATTGAGTAGAGTTCTAGAATACGATCCTAAGGGTTGAATACGACCCTACCACACCATTTTGATGTTGATACCACGTTCCCCGCAATATGCTAAGTGGCACGTCTTCCAGTAGATCTGTCACAATAAAAGTTTAACCTTACTATTATTCCCATTTCCTATGGTTGGTAACTGCTACATATTGTTTGTTATTTTGGAATACCGCAGAAATATTAACAGTAAAATGCGTAGTTGTAACTCATTGTAATGTTATAATAATATTTCTGCGATATTCCAAAATAAAATAATTGACATCTATCTTTGGTAACAAAGAAAGCGACTTAAATTGGCAACATTTTTAACATGGCCGCATGTTGAACGAAACGATTTTCTTTACTGTTAGCCAAATAAAATAATATCAGCTTGATTTGTAAGCGGATTTATGTTGAACGCGTAGCTTGGGCTCTAATCTGTTCTCGACATAAAATAAGGGTAAGAGATTTGATGGAAAAGGTTGTACTTTTATCGGAAATCAGTCGGATGTTTGATCGGTGGCTATAGTCGGTTTTGTTTTGGTTTCGGGCAGAAGATGATGCATCATCCGAACATGCATCATCAGGCGATGTCGGGGCACCCGCCCCAACATATGCCGGCGCACCAGGGAATACCGGGACACCACCAAATGCCGCCGCATCAGCTTCACAGGGAGAACAGGCACGTAACATTGACTAGGTAACGTTCTGCTTTTTTCTTATTTATTTGCCTTAGATTTGATTATAGTAGCGCTAGTACACGGTGGGATTTATGAACTACGTTTTCTAAAGTAGAGCTAGCTTATATACCATTGTAAACATTGGAACAATACTGAGAAACAGACGCTTTGAAAACGTAGTTGTGCAATAGTTATAATAGCTATGTATCTAATGTCGTGAAAGCGGGAGTTTCATAAAGTTTATTCAGCCATATGTTCATTAAAAAGTATTGTTTGATTTTTATTCTTCACTAAATAAGAGCAAGTTTTTAATATTGTTAGGCATAGTACTATCCATGCACTAGCTTACATTTGGCGTAAATATAAGTAGATATTTTTATATTTTATAGACGGGGGACCTTCACAAAATTACCAAACAAACCAAAAATGTATTTCCATATCTAGTAATTAATTTAAATTCAGAATAATGTACTTTATTGTTTTCATTTCCACATGAATTTTATGTAAAACGATTTTTATAATAATGTTCATTAACAATATACTAAGCAAATTAACAAAAATATAAACAAAATAAAGAGTAGTAGCTACTCACATAATGTGGCTTGGTACAAGAAGTGCCTAAGTCTGTATTATTTACACACTGCTTCTACCAAATCACAGGTATACTTCCATGTCAATTGATTGCGTACCAGTATGCCCAACGTACAATGCAACTAACAGAAATCATAATAGTAGCACCAAAGCACCTTAAAACTAAGTGAAAATGTTTTGAACTTCTTTTAGACTTTTAGTTTAACACCTGGAAAATAAGTGAGTTCAGTATACATTAATATAATATTTATATTGTTGTAAACAATACCTGCCATAAACCAAACTACATTGATTGTAGTTGTTATGAACTTCTAGAATTTTTGAAAACTTTAATTTACTTTCAGAGATATCAGAAAAAAATAATATGCAAAAAAATAAAAAGGAAGTATGTCTTTTTTTATGATACTAAGTGGTAGGACAAACAAGTTGTGCACCTGGTGATAAGCAACATGCCTATCCATAACAGTTGCAGTGCCATTTAGAGCTTTAAATTGCAAAAATCTAAGGGGCACTGCCATTTCGCTCTCGTCACCCTTGAGACATAAAGTTGATAAGTCCTATGCACCTGTAATTTCGCCAGCACCCTTACACTTCTAAGCCGGAATGCAGTAGTGCTGACATTCCTGCTTGGGGGCAGGAATAGGTAAAGTGGCAATACTTCTCTGGACAATTCATTCATAAGGAACTCTACTTACTGCTTGCAGTGAATATTATACATATAACTACAAATTTTAGAGGTGGTGGTGTATTGCTTGTTGTCATTGAAGATATCATTGTATCATGTATTACTTTATTTTTGTCTTATAAGAATCTCAAAACTGTGGATTAGCTTGATTGAAAGATGCAATACCAATGATGCCTTTTTGACTTTTATTCCATAGATTTAGAGTTCCATTTATTGATCATGACTCTAAAAATGCTAAGCTTAATCTTATCATCAGTTTATAATACTCCAGTATAGCTAACACATTAAATAATGAAGCTAGATACAATACACAAATAAATCGTGTAAAAACATTAGACAACATCATATATGTTGCTCTGATCCCAAAGTAAGTAACTAAAGCACTTGCATTACAGTACTACAAACACCCAGGCCCGAGACAATATAGAAAAGTTAGTTGTTCTACATTGATCCAACTGGGGATCGAACCCTGAATCTCAGAGATGGCGACATCTTGAAAACCACAATGAAATAAGGTTAAAACCAAAAAGGCTTCTCAGAATTATGAATTTAAAGAACTATAAAACATTTCTACACTAGGGTAACCTACGTTTAATTTAGAAGTTTTGCTGCACTGTCTGTTGCTGTCGCATTATCTTCTCTTATTTGAAAAAAACTGAAAACAAACAAACAAAAACTGACAACAGCTATCATTGAAGTTTTATTGGTGATCAAAATTGTTAAAAAGAACTCTTTAGTACTAACATTTTTTATCATTATCGTTATTTGTTATAAGAATATCTATCAACTTGTAGGTTAGGAATTTTTATGTGTATTGATTGTGATGTAGCGCCCTTGATAGATAGGTTTCAAGCCTAACCTATAAAGTGGCATTATTGGTCTTAGTTATTGGTCATGTTACTATAAAACCAGTATACTGAACACAGTTTATGAATAAAGGTAGTATAAATAAACTCTTGGTTCAGCTATGCATACCAGATATTTCAAAAATACATTATTTTGGTTGTGATTCCATTATCTGACTGATAATGATGATAAATAACGAATTTAATATATATATTAATAATCTGTGCTGCATAAACTAGCATAATATACTTACTTCTAATAGGATATTGAAATTTGGTTATATGGACAATTTTTAATGAGTTTGTAAACTTAAATATTCTTGTGAAGTCATAATTCCTGGGAATAAAATAACAAAAAGTACAAAGCAAAAGCTTATGAACATTTTTGTTATGGTTTGTACAGAGAATACATTTCTGTTGTAATATTATATTTTCTTATAAGATCTTGTGAGTTACTATTTGCACAATTTTATTTATACAGTAATTTTTTTTTAATTGTCTCACCTAATCTCTTTTCTGGTACATTCAATGTATGGATTGTTAAACATGTTTTTTTCCTTCATATATATATATATATATATATATAAAATATTATTTAGGTTTGTTCGTCACCTTAATCAATATACATGGTTTGGTGAGGTTCCTGGATGCTTAAGTCGATACTATCAGCCAGTTGTGCCAGTTTCTACTATTAATTTTAAACAATTCTCATACCTGTGTTGATAAGGCAGGGGCTATAAAATTTTATTGGTACAGTGTACACTTACAATAGTTTCATGTTACTACAATATCAACTTGAGTCTGGTCACTCAAACATTGACACTATTTAATAAAAACGTCTGTGTTTTATGTGCCACTGTAGAAGCGACAGTTTTCATATGCAAATATTGTGTAATTTGTTGATATGTCGAGGGTTCTTTGCGGCCCTCTTTGTCACTGAAACTGGTCCTGAATAGAGCTCACAAAGAAACATATGACGACGTCTCTATTGATTCGAGAATAGGGTAATGAATGTAAGATCTACCTTTCTTTCTGCACTCAGACTAATACATCAAAGCTTTCAGTGAATCGGGCAGTTGGAATAACAATTTCGCCGCGAACGGGCTCCCCTTATAGTAGAAAGTGGTCAGAGCTCTTACATGTGCTTTCTACAAAATGTCCTTGCGTCGATTCAACTGATTTTTATTAATTGTTACTCGAATCATTGCTAGCTGCACTGTTGCAACTAATGCAAGTTTATAGTTTCGTTTGTTATATTTGCAATACAACTTGTATTCGACGATATTATTCAACAATACCAGGAGGTGATGAATGAGTGAGTACAAGTGTTACACTAGTTGGTTTTTCGTGAAGGGTACCGCTGGGACCATCGGGCGGCATGGGGGGTGTCGGAGGCAGTGGGGGCCTGGGGGCGCACGGGGGGCATGGGCACGGACAGATAGGCGGTCTGGGGGCGCTAGGCGTGCACGGGCCGCATGCGCCTCATGCGCCTCATGCGCCACACTCTCAACGCCCGCCGCATGCCATCCACCACATGCACCACACGCCTGCCCCGCCACCGCCACAGCCGCAGCATCACAATCACCCACCTGTGAGTTCACATGTATTTAAAAATCGATCAATTTCGAGAACAATATGAATTTTATGTGTTACTCTGAAAGCTTAAATCATATTCTGATAATGTTTTTGCTTTGGAAATGAAACTTTTTTTCCGATAGAATTGGCGTATATTTGTTCTTTCAAACAAATTAACATTTCGGGCCCTTCACAGATCAACGACCATGGAACCTGTAAAGGGCCCGAAACGTTAATTTATTTGAAAAAAGAAATATACGCGATTTAGGACCGCAAAAAATAGCTTCATATCGAATGTGTAACAATCGCGAAAACCTAAGAACATATATTTTTGCTTCACCTTTTTCCGTGGCCTCTAACACAATTAGTGCTCTTGTTTTCCAATTGCCAATTATGTCAGAGGTCCGGGACTCTGTCTATACTTCCTTGTCTCACACCATTCACAGATTTCTTTACAAAAAAATTAGTCCTTCGTACTTGGCAAAATAGAATTAGGCTTTCTATGAAACTGTGTTAAAGTTATAAACGTGTGTGCACATTTGGCAGACAATGAAGCCAATGCGGCGACCGTACCTGGGCGGCGGGTACGGACCTGGGCCGGGCGTGATGCCGCCGCCGTACGCACCTGAGCCGCATCAGCCCGAGCACGCGCCCGCGCACCCGCCACAGAACGCTCCTCCCATCAACGCAAAACAGCCATCACATACAGGTTAGTGTCAAAAATGGTAGTTTTCCTTTCAAATTAAATAAAAATATGTGTACGTAGTAGGCAACAGTTACGTTTCTTTAGGGGTCGGTCTGTCATAGTTTTGTTCCATTTAAGAAGACAAAACATTTTAATTTAAGAAACCATCCACCAAGGATTTGAGATCTGCTTAAGCGTAAGCAATCTATGACCATACTCTTTTCTATAAGTGTAATATGTAGATTGTATGCCAATAAATTAGATTTATACTGTGACGTCTCGTTCAATATGTAGTTATATATGTACAGACTTGTGGCTAAGAGTGTATCCTTTAGTAGCAGTAGAGGTCCTTGTGAAAAAGTTCGTCAAGAGAAGTACTGACATCTTGCCCGTTTCTGCCGCCGAGCAGTAATGTCAGCATTGCTGTGTTCCGGTTTTGAAGGATAGGGGTGCTGATGAAATTTCATGCACATGGGTCTTGTCAACTTATGTCTCAGGGTGACGGGCGCAGTGGCAGTGCACACAGATCTTTGCGATTAAAGTTCTGAGTGGCACTGCACCGTCATAGAAAGACGTGTCGCTTACTACCAGGCGCACGAGTGTTCATTCTGTCGCTTGATATCATTAAAAAAAATGTTTGAAATGAAAATGATAAGTCGACGCGGAAACTATGTTGCAACGCAAAATATTTTCAGTTTATATAAATGTTTTTGCAAGAGTGTGCACTAACACAACACACTCGTCTTGCCGCTAAGATGAGCACTTAAAGGATCTGCTGAAAGATAACCGTTAAAAGCAATATTTCACCGCATTAAGCGCAGAATGGGGGTCCTTAACCTCTTTATATTACTTCAAATCTTTTGATAACACGGACTCCCCATATGCTTAAACTTTTATTCGCATATGTCTGGTTTAAAGAGGGTGTTTAATAGCACAATCATCAAGGTGTGGTAGCCCAGCGGGAGAGCGTTTACTCGCTACTGAACTCCCGTTTACTCTTCAAGCGCAATATCTGGCAATTAAAGCTTGAATTGTAATTTGTAGACTCTTTTTTCGTTATAATATAAAAGTATAATCATAGATAGTCGTATAATTATTTCTAGTAATTCTGTTTTTTGTGCCTATTCAAAAGTTGACATTAATGGAGGTTACGACATTTGGGAATTTAGCAGACGTTTCATAACAGTTACTTACATTTGTGAATGTTTACTTTTTTTTTATAATATCAAGTGATGGGACGAACAAGTCGCGCGCAGGATGGTCAGCTACCCGCCTGTTCATAACAGTTGCGGTGCCACTTAGAGCTTTAAGAACAAGTTGACAAGTCCCGTGTGCCTGTAATCACATGAAATCACATGAGACTTGTCAAAACCGGAACACAGCAATGCTCACATTACGCTCGGCGGCAGAAACAGGCAAGGTGGCAGTGCTTCCCTGGACGAACTCTTTCACAAGGAACTCTACTGCTACTAAACTACTTGCAATACTTCTCGTTACCGGTAAATGAAACCTGCATGTCGAAGATGTTTGATAGTAATAATTTAAAAAGTGCGGTACGTAGATATTAATTGCTTATAATATATTGATTGACTTTTAATTTATAGATAATTGTTAAGTTTTTCTAATTAATTTGTCTTATTTTAATAGTTGCCTTTTGAATAATAATTAATTCACTAAATATAACCACCATTGTTATTATTTAAGTGAGGTTTATTTTAAGTTAATTAGTAAATATTAAGTCGTAGTAGCCTAATGAATATTGGAATAATAATAATGGAGATAAATTTGACCTACCGTCTCTCAAGCAGAAGCCGTGGCTTTGAATCCGGGCTCGCACCTCTGAGTTTCTCGGAATTTATGTGCGATATTTAATTACAATGAATTTTTCGGTGAAGAGAAAAGTCCCTGACCCGCATTGGCACAGTGGACGGACTATGGCCTAAACCCCTCGCCTGAGAGGTGTCCCGTGCTCAGCAGTGGAACGTGTAAATGGGTTGTTGATGAACTTGTTAATTATATTTTTTCTGTCGTGTCCTAATTTGCATGCCGCGGCTACCTGAGGCAAAATTTACTATGTGTTTGTGTCACTATTTCTATTCTGTTACATTTAAGTCATGTTCTGATGGTTGTCAAAAAAAAACTAAAATAAATAAGGAATATAAAAGGTTTATATACTATCCAAAACCTTAAGCTATTGTTATTTCCACAGTAGGTCTGTGCAAGCCGCCTTCGCCTGTAATCATGGCACAAACCAACCTCGTGTCTGACTTTGGTTAGTTAAAAAAATTCTTAATGTGTATGTGCTTTCTTTTATTTTACTTTGATATATTAGAAGCAGTAGAGTTCTTTGTGAAAGATTTCGTCCAGGGAAATACTACCTTACCTATTTCTGCCGCCAAACAGTAGCGTCATTACTGCGTTCCGGTTTTGAAGGGTAAGGGAACTTATCGCACATGAAACAACATACTGTCATAACTCAAAATTGCGGAATTGGGAAATAATCATAATAAAAAACGGAATGGATCTTATTGCGAATTAAATAGAAATTACGATTATGTATAAATAAAAATAATCACATTGATTATTTTAATTTATACATAGTGCTTTATTATTAATTTATAAACGAGAATATGTATATTAGTTTCATTCGGTGTTTGTTTAAATTTTCAAATCGTGTCCTCTCAATTCCATAGTTTTGAGTTACGACAGTATTTGGTTTCGTGTGCGTTGTGTCTCAGGCTGACCGACGCAGAGACAGTGCCCCTCAGATCTTTGCGATTTAAAGTTCTGAGTGGCACTGCAACTGCTATGTACATGCGTGTCGCTTACCACCAGGCGCACATGTTCGTCCTGACACTTGTAGGGCGACATGGCGCGACTTGTGCGAGAGCGAGATAAAGCGTGGGATCTCTGTGCAAGAATAGCCGTGTCACTCACGCGCAAGTTGCACTCTAACTATCCCTATTAGTGTCATAAAAAAAGTTCTTTATTTTCTACTATACACAGTCACTCGACTTGTGATTGATGTACAATTATGCGAAATTAGATATCTGCCAAAAGGAATAACGCTAAGCAACAACAGATCTATCATACGACTGCACACATGTAATTGTGGCATCATTGTCTATGTTTTAGCTTTAGCCGCTTTTTTATTAGCCAGTTTAATTAATTTGAATGTCATTTAGAAATTTTCCATTCCATATAACAAGTACATTGTAGATTTCGCTTTATGAATTTATTTGCGTGATTCGTATTACAATTAAGCTGATTATCGATTCAGTATAAAAAGTGACACTTAAGTGGTAGCTATTTGATATTAATTTAATTCATTATTTGCGTACATAATGGGTTTTCTGTATAATGTTAAGAAGGCTCCACATTCTCGGCAAAATATACGAGACCTGCCGAATACGAGAGTGTAGAGGAAGTATTTGTGTATGTTCGCGTTTATACGTTTGTCTCCGTATCTTGTCGGTAAATGTCAAAAAGATAAAAGGATATTCGGTCACCATCTTGTAGTGCGTACTATGTACAACTTTGTTGTTAAGACGTAAAGGACCTTAAGTTCATACTTTGGAATTTTGATGTTTTTACAAACATTACTCTAAATTGCTGCGTTTATTTTTTTATTTAACATATGTATACACATCAAAAGTGTTAGGGATCAAGCACGTTTCTGCCCATTACTGAAAACCTGGCTTTTTTATTAATTTTTTGTTCAACATTCAGTGGCTTTTTTTTTTATCAATTTCATAAGTTAAAAAATAAATAAATAATGCAATAAATTTGTATGGATATTTTTATTAAATTTTAATAGGGTAATTAATATTTAAAAAAGATACCTTGATCCCAAGACACTATTGGTGTGTGTATTTTATTTGACCTTAAGATTGATTTACATTCCTGATTAAAAGCCTCGGTCTCTTTAAAACACTCCATAATAAAATTGTGTATTTGGCACTTGAGGTTCTTTACCTCTCACCTAATGAACTGTCCCAAGCGAGAATGTAGAAGCTCGGGTTCGTTTTGCCCTTCGTCCGAGACATTTCGCCGAGAATGTGGAGCCCGCTTTACATTAAGTATACATTATAGTTTCGACTGCATTGTATATATACAGAAATATATAAATTATAAACACGAACGCAGGGGTGCATTCATCAACAAACGCCGCTCAAGCAACCACAAGCTCCGGCGCAGGCGAGCCGGTGAATGTGGGGAGCACGGTGGAGAGCGCGGCCGAGGAGGCGTGCGCGAGCGCGGCGGCGGGCGACAGCGAGGCGAATCGCTCGCCGCCGACACCGGCCAACAGTAAAGAGAAGACTCCCATGTGCCTGGTCAACGAGCTGGCCAGGTACAATAAGGTAAAACTACCATATACACTAATTCTGGGCTAATTAATTGTGAGGGTTGGATGGGAAGTCCCAAGTTCGATTCTCGGAAGGACCAACTTAGGAAATGAACTTTTCTAAATTGGTTCTTTTCTGTGTGTGCTGGGTAGTGCCCTGGAATGAATTCGGTATCTAGTACTCACAGTACAGGGAGTTCCTTAGTTTGAGACCAAGTTATTAGTGTGGTTGTCTGGTACATTATTATTATTTAATTCATAATTACGCGCAACCCTGCAACAAAATAGGAAAGTTAAGAATGTTTGCCTTCAATGTGTATCCACATCTGAACTCGATTACCATTGGGAGACCTGTGGAGTCGGCATTGACATAATCGGGTATTTTAAAATACCTTAACATTTGATAAAAAGCAACCTTACCTCATTTTTAATTGTGCAAAAGAGAAATTTCAGTTTTCATAAAAAAGCTCTATATATACCCTTTGAAAAAAGTTGATTTTTTTTACTCATATATTTTTAAACACAATTTTTAGTTTATAAATTACCTCATTCATATATGGGCTTATGTTCAAAGAGGTTTAAATAGGTTTGAAGACCCTCAACCTCAACCCGATTTGGGTTAGCATGATAGTGAACAATGGCCTGAATTTCCTCCTTAGAGAAAACCAGTGCCCAACCGTGGGACATATACAACATATATATTTTTCAAGAGTAACATCATTAAAAAACTTAGTTAAGTTTGACACTGCTCATGTCTCTCCAGGTACAATTTTCCTGTTTTCTGAATTCTTAATTTACAAAACGCAACAATAGCAGAACAATCGTTCAATCAATTAGATGCAGAGCTCCTTGTGAAAGAGTTAGTCCTGAGTGCAGTACACCTTACCTATTTCTGCCTCAAGCAGTAATGTGAGTATTACTGCGTTCCGGTTTTGAAGGGTAAAGTTCCTGGTGATATTACACAGGCACATGGGCACATCTTATGTTTCAGAGTGACGGGTGCTCTGAATGGTAGAAACTGCTATTGTTCGTTCCGACATTTTGTGTCATAAAAAATCACCAGGTTAAACCGGCAATGTGTGAATATTTTGCATTGTCGAATCTTTAAAGTTAAAACATTAATTCCAGATTAAGCATCAATACCGCCTCACATCAGAAACGGGACCCGCTCACAAGAAAGTATTCACAGTAACACTCCGATTGGGTGATACTGAAGAATACACAGCTGAGGTGAGTTATCTGAAATAGTAAACAAAACAAGCAAACACGTATTAAAACTCTTACAATAAAATGATTATACTCTGTACAATTTAGCTTTATGAAGGCGCCTACAGATTTGCTCGATTTCTTGACGATTGACACGTGTGATCAAACAAAACAAGTAAATGTGTAAGCAACAGACGATTCTTATCCTATGTTTTTGTTTGATTGACATGTATGATCAAACAAAATGTAATAAATGTGTAAGCAATAGACGACAGACAGCACATTTTTTGTTGATCGACAGTGGAATTGAAATTAAGCGTAGGTTCCTACAAAGTTTAAGTTTAGTAGCAGTAGAGCTCCTTGTGAAAGAATTCGTCCAGGGAAGTAGTGCAGCAGTATATTGAGAGAGAAAAACGCCTTGAATTGGAGAATAGCAAAATCAACCATTAAAATAATTTCTCCTTATAATAAAATAAGGGCGCTATTTATAAAAATTAATCTTCATGCGTGAACAGCCACCTTAGCCTTAGCTTAGAGGTGGATGATTTTCTTCAAAATTAAATGGGACCACTATGGAGGTACTTACCCTCTTTCTAACAAGAAATGAATCGTCAAAATCGGTTCACAAATACCGGAGTTATTTCGTAACATACATACAAAAAAGAACAGTCGAATTGAGAACCTCCTTTTTTGGAAATCGGTTAAAAAGAACCATAACCGTGTTTAATTTGTTCCTAAGGGCTCGTCGATAAAGCGCGCACAACACGCGGCGGCCAGCTCGGCGCTGGCGGGTACGGGATACCCGCCCCCCTCACCGCGCGCGCCGCCCACTCACCCGCATCCCCACCCCGCACACAGGCACGCAGGTGACCACACACGCATTTTTTTAAGCTATTTAGCTTCAAAAAGCAGAAAGATTTAAAAGTATCCAGGTTGCAAATAAATTGCTTGGCAAATATCAAAAGATAACACTATTTTCTAACGAGTTAATCAAATTTAAAGGTTTGTAGTCCACCATTTACCACTCTGAATGCATACCAAAATCTGGTCTGATTTTTTGCGTTCCTTCGTTTGTCATCGTGTTATTGATTCATCTTGTGGACCGTCATTAAGTGGACCTTATGAATCATCTACACAAGTGCCAGGCGCTTGGAGTCGGCGTAAATCTCAAAGCTAGAGCATAAATCGTATAACGATATACAGGTGCAGTGATGCCCACTGTGGAACTGAATGCGCTGGCCATGAAGCTGTGCCAGCCAGCAGTGTATACGTCCATCCCGCCTGTGCCCGCTCCGCCGCGAATGACGCGCACACGCCCCCCAGCGCCCTTCCGCCTGACTCCTTTCGTCCCCAACGCATACCATCCGCGAATGCTCACTCCTGGGCTACTATACAGGTATGTTACGTTACTTATTTAATATTTTAAGTTTTAACATGTCTATTATATGTATTGTCCGCGCAGCATGTCTTCATTAAAACTGACCGCATTGCATTGAACATAAGAGCAGTGGGAGAAATAAGACGTAAATTTTGCCTTGCCATTCATTTCATCTATGTATTGGTTTTCGGATAATAATAATAATAATAAAAATTGTATATAAGAATGAAATGTGTTTACATGGCATAGATTACAACTAAACGAGTTTGTGCAACAGTATCTAAGGAGGTGGTACTTCCAACCTTGAAATAGGTGGGTAGCCTGTGTTTTTCGACGCACAGTATCAACTTCGGACAGTGTAAAAGCTATTTTTTTTAAATAAAAATGAGGTTATACTCAAGTTTGTTCAAAATACATTGTAAAAGTAAAAACAAAATAGTTTTGAAAATAAAATTAAAATAAAATTTTGGTGAAGTAAAATGTAAGTAAAATGATGCGACTGTAAATTTAGAAGAGAGGATTGCGTGCATTAAAAAATGAATCATTTCAACATTTTCGTTTTGTTTCGCACTCTGTGTCTCACCACCGTGACAATGGGATCTGTAAAACAAATGTATAAAAAAAGAGTAGTTTCATTTCATGTGTAACAATCGCGTAAACCTAAGAACTCGAAATAGACTCGATCCCAGTAAAAGCGATAGCCCCGGTGTGTCAGCAGACGCTGGTTCATGTCCAGTCAGATAGACGGAATTTTTCTTTTCGATCTCTAAAACAATCATAATAACAAATTAGTGTATGTATGAAGTAGGTTTACGCCATTGTTACACATAGGAAATGGAACTACTTTACACAACAAAGAAAAAGGTTTATTTAAAAATATATGAGTATCAGGTAGTAAATACATCATGATACTCAATAGAAATAAACTCGATATGAATAGAGTGAGTTAGTGAAAACCGTGAGTGTAAACTCGTGGTATAAGCAGTGTATTGTGTTGCGTGGTGCAGAGTGCGCGTGTGCGTGGGCGGGCGCGCTTGGCTGGGCGAGGGCGCCACCCCGCAGGCGGCGCGGCACGACGCGGCGGCGCGCGCGCTCGCCGACCTGCGCCCCAAGCACGACGCGCCCCCCACCCCTCACCAGCCGTCGCCTGTCGACAACGAGAACGGTAAGCCCTTCGTTCCCGCCTGCACTGTTTGTGGGTTACCTATGACATCCGTCCGAAATGATGTTTTCCAGAAATAACGTTTGCTCGAATTTTCATAACCTCGAAAGTAATTTTGAGAGGAAAATGTTTTTTCTTTTTAAACCTTACCTAATCGTGTCTTTGCGATAAACAACCAACATATCCTGAAAGAACAATGGTTGCGTTAAAATTCGAACAAAGGTTATTTCGGACAAAAAAAATTCGAGTTTGTGCTATTGGTGCTGTCGCCTTTACGACATTTTTAAATGACATTATTTTGTAATTGTATGCGAAATGAAGTCGATTTTATTTTTATTGTTTTACTTACATAATTAATATTTTGAACACATTTTTTTTTGCTGTATAATCTATTTTTTGAATATAATAATAATGTATTTTTTGAAGACTGAAGTAAAATTACAGCTTATTGCACAAAAGTGGTGCCCGCGATATGGATAAATATACTATTGACTGAATATTGGCCACGCTTATTTGAATAAATAGACGAACTTGTTTCATTTGAATCATCCTCGACCTTATTATTCATCCAATTATTGACTGAATTGTCAATATTTCTAAGTTCATACATATACACTGTATTTAGGACTATGTTTATAAATAATACAATGAAGAGACATATTTTAAAGTTATTCATTTTAATTCAATATAAGTAATAAAACCCGTACCTGTATGTTTACCTTCTCTGTGGTTTGCAAATAGAAAGCAATCGAGGCACTCCCAAAGATCTGCAATCTTTGTGTTTTGTTGAAAAATAAAGTCCACTTGCTTAAGTTCAGTTAAGTGCGTCTTGAACCAATGCTTAAATTAAGACGACACTCTTAACACAATGTATTAAGAGTGCAATTTGTATTGCAAGCATTGGTATGTTGGTTTAAGACATACTTAAGTTTAGTGGAACTGGACATATGTAGTTATATTATTAGAGTAGGTGAAATTTACGTAGTAGTTTAGGTTAATTGTTTGCATATCTACAAAATCAACCCCTTTCCGGTTTTAAAATTTATGTGGATGCCTAGTACGCCTCGAACAAAATCTTGTCAATATTGACAAACATTGTTTTCTGACTTTTCCAAGTGAAAAATACGTCTTCTGTTCTGGCAGGCACCACAATCAGTCATTTCACAATTCACAGGCGATGCTGGTGCGGACCTCCTAAACTCAGAAGTGAAGTCGCCAGTGTCGCTGGTACACGAACTTGCCCTGAAACGCAACCTCTCCGTTCTTTTCACCGTCAAATCGGAGCGTGGCCCGCCGCATATGAGGGTAAACATTTAAACCTTGTGATTGATAACAGTTTAAAAAGCAGTAGAGGTCATTGTGAAAGAGTTCGTCCTGGTAAGTACTGCCTATTTCTGCTGCCTGATAACAAGAAGTAATAGCTCAAAGTACCTAAATATTCTAAAGGCTCACGCACATTATGGTGGGCCGCACTGCACCGCATTGTATAGCAATAATCTTCCTAAATCACTTTCGTACATTTTATGTATAAAATATGGGTATGTTACATATCTATAATGTAATGTATAATCACTACCGCGGCTGTCTGTCTGTCTGATCATGATAAACTCAAAAACTACTGAATGAATTTTCATGCGATTCCCACCAATAGACTGAGTGATTCATGAGGAAGGTTTAAGTGTATGATTTATTTAGGTTTTGTGAAATTTGCTTGAAATATGACTATAAATGTTGAAGACTGTCGGAAAAAACCATGCCGTATTAAAAACTAGCAGCTATCCACACCATCGCTGTATCTTTCTTTATATTTCATTAAAGTTCTAACTCGGTATTTGCAGGTGTTCGTAACAGCATGCACGGTGGGCGACATGGAGACAGAAGGCGAGGGCAACGGCAAAAAGGTGTCTAAACGGCGCGCTGCTGAAAAGATGCTGGAAGAAATGCGTCGCCGCTGGCCACCTGCGTTGCTTCGGGCCAGACCGCCGCATGATAAGCGTAAACCGCAGCCAACTAAAAAGAAACCTCGGAATCTGATCAAGGTAAAAAGTTGTTGTCTCCCGATTAAACGAGCGGTCAGGTGTGATAAATGTTCAGGGTGGTGGTGATTGTTGTTCTTGATTGTAGAAGTGCAGAGTAAGTAGGGAATTGGGACTATTAGTTTTTAAAATGTAATCACAATGGCTATATACAGGTTAGAAAAATAATACTTTATTTAAGCTGTTACACGTCCTAGAGACATGCGGTGCCCCTAGCGGTTTTTTTTTTATAACTTTAAATTTATTTTATAGGGATACAACAGCTTATTTACATTAGACATTAACTCGTCACGTATCCTAGACGTCCGTAACGATTTTGTCACTGTAGCGTCCTCGAGCCACATTATAACGAGCGGCCGCATCTGCGTACACAATTTTTTTTCAATTTCTGAATTTATTAAAAAAAACTAAAAAATTGTAAAATTTGCATAAACATTCCTTCTAAATATAATTTTGTTTTTCGATTGCCTAAATACTGTATTTTTACTATCCAAAATACGTTCGCATCAAAGGACGGATGAGGTAAATCAGTATGCGCGTGCGCAGGAGGGCGGCACGGAGCGCACGGCGAGTGGCGGCGGCGGCGCGGACAACCCCATCTCGCGGCTGGCGGTGGCGCGCCACGCCGTGCGCGCGCGCAGCCCGCAGTACCGCGTGCTGGAGGAGCGCGGCGCCGCGCGACGGCGCGAGTTCGTGGTGCAGTGCGACGCGCCGCCGCACTCCGCCACGGGCCAGGGCCCCAACAAGAAGACCGCCAAGCGGCGCGCCGCGCACAGTACGGCCCTTCTCTACCGTTCTGCGAAATATATTTTTTCGCCTGTATGGACATTACATAGTTAAAAACTACGATGTGATTTATTCGCGTGATAAAGAAACGCGCTTACCAAAAAAATAACCTTAGACAGACCTTACAATAACACAACTCGAAACCTCCCAGAAATTTGACTACCACCGTTCACAAATGCGATGCTACTTTTCAGACGTACTGCTAGCGATGGAGATCAGCGGACCGGAGAACACATCGGCCGGCACGAATAGCCCCGACGCGGGCGCTAACGGAGCCGCCGACGTGCCTAAAACTAACAACCTTAACAATAACGACATTAAACGAAAAGTTAGTACACAATAATTTCAGTGATTTTTAATTTTTTTTTTATATTTAAACCGGTAAACTAGTCAGTTGTCGGAAAATTGTGGCCTATAGGCAGGGACATTGGTGATACGTAATAATACATTTGCGTTACTGTTTAACAGAGTTAGTTCGCGAGAGAGATGAGAAACAACATTTTAAGTCTCCTATACCTATTAAACCTCACAAACAGAAGAAGTACTACTTTCGAAAAAGTAGGTAGAAAGGTGGTACCCAGTCGAATTCAACGAACCACTAGGAAACACATTAATATTTGATTTTCATCAACACATTCCTTGTCCCCGTTGAAAAACCCGATACTAATTGTGTTATAGGATGGCGAAACGACTGCTAGTGGCGGTGCCAGCAACGAGGTTCGACAGCCAGTACCGGGTGTACTGCTCATGGATTACCATCAGAGATCTGGACAACCCACGCCGCCTAACGGTAAACTTTTGATTCTGACAGTTACGATTTCGTATGAAATTGCCAATAGAACGATATAGTCTTATCTTTTTTGAAGACGGAGTAAAATTACATTTACAAGGTTGCTAGTTTTCATAAAATTTTAAATTGTCGATAGTCGATAGAATATTTATCGACTGCAACCACTAGCTGCTTGCAAGCGGGCAACAATTTTGGGCAATGAACTGTCATTTTACTCTATCTTTAATGTCAGACAGACCATAGTTATCAATCAATTGATTCCTAATTTGACGCTCAGATGGTGTTGTAGTACTTTACTAATGTACAGGCGTCAGCGAAACAAGCGCGACAGGCGGGTCCGGAGGTAACACGCCGGGTGCCAAGGATCAGCTTATGTATTTGTCGCAGCTACTGGGATTCACAGTGCAGTTCTCCGACTTTCCTAAGGTAAAAAACGTATCGGAATAAATGCATGGAAATAAGTTTGTTGGCTGGAATCTAAATGCTTAGCAAAGGAACCTTAAACTTATAAATTTTTCTTTATAGCAGAGATTCGTTCCCAGATGTAGATTTTAAATTGATTAATGTTGAAAATATCGCACAGAATTGTCTCTTTATTTATCTCGTTATCAGGTAAGTTATTGTTTAAAATGCTTAGGTATGAATTTGCTTGTATTCAGCGCAACCACGGAGAGTACCTGTCGTTGGTATCGCTATCGACGGAGCCACCGGTGATGTGTCACGGCGGCGGGCCGTCCACGCAGCACAGCCACGAGCAGTGCTCGCGCGCAGCCCTGCGCGCACTCGCGCTCATGGGACTCGATGCGCCCACCACCGGGTAAATTACTTTCGTTCTACCTTCACCGTAAGTAACTAGATATGAAACCTACAGTGTGATTATCCGCATAAACTCAAATAGATCTATTTTTATGTATTTGTCGTTTTTATTGTTATATGCAACCGTAGACAAACAAAAGGAAAATAAGGTAAGTCTTACAATCTGCACCCGTCGACGTGTGTTCTCATCCATCGTCAAAGAAATTGCTCAATTCGGTCATTCTCGGACTAGTGTTCACTATCTAGTTTCCGCAGCAATTTTTTATTATTTCAATATTGAAGTATTTATTGTGTAATTATTAAATAATATTTTACGATACAATACTCGTATATTAAATATTATTGCACGATAAAAAAAAATGGAATACTTAAATAATAAAAATTGCCACGGAAATTAGGTAGTGAACACTATAGTCCGAGAATAACCGAATTAATAACAGGTCGATAACGTACAGCGATTTCGCGCTCGGCTATGGCGATTGAAATGTGTTTTCACTTTTCAGAGTATTGGGCCACGTGCTAAGAAATAAATAACTTGCAATGTGTTTTGTCATAGACATAGATAAGACAAGTTATGTAACTCCATACAAATGTAGTAGCGCAGTTTGTATGTGTGCACACTCGTGTACAGACACACATATGCGCATAATCTCGCGGTGCATTGGAGTTGCAGAGCGCGGTTTCGCACGCGCCTTTCGTTAAAGAATTGAAACGTTCGTTCCGTGTTTAACGGTGTTTAGAATAAAATAATAATAGTAGCCTATGTCATATATATATTTTCATTTATAAAATATGTCGTTATATCGGAACTTGCATTTAATTTTTATTTCATGATCGTACAAGGTCAAGAGCAAGTCAAGCTTGACACTTAAGATTTAAATCCAACTCTATGCCGCTTACGATAAGAACGGTCCAAAGTACAAGGCGTCAAGCTTGACGTGCTGTTGACTGTCCTTCCATTATCGAGATACTAATCGGCAACTCTCTCTGGTATAAAAATACCCTTATGTAAATACTGCAATTGCAAAGGTTGTTTCAATAAAGCGTGAGATACTGTGATAAATATCTTAATTTTTTTAAATTATCTTTACAATCTTTAAAACTACAACTAAATTAGTAATGTGACAACCCTAACCCATGTGACAATCCGAGGGAGGTTAGGTATGTATGGATGCGCCGAATAGGCGGGAGTTGGACTACTTGTCTTAATAATTAATATACTGTGGTTGTGTTTACCATGTACTCATTACATTGTTTGTTTTTGTATATTTTAGTATGCAGGCCATGGCAGGGCCAGGGCCAGGCGCCAACCCCAGCGTCATTACCAATGGAATTTCCGAGTAACGGCGCGTTCCGCAGTTTCATATACTAAGTTAGTTTGTTTCATTATTATTTGCAATATTATGCACATGTCGTGAATATTTCAGAGCGCGAAATGCACGGGACAATGTTTTTTCATATATGATTATTATTATATATTTCTAGCTATGACATATTCACAATGACATTTTTTTGTTTGTTTTTGATCTCGGGTCTTGCAACAACACTAGTTTCCTTTTTATTCGAAACATTTTCCTATTTTACTAGAATTACAAATGTATATTTTTTTTGTTATACTCTACGATAGGTCGCTATTTTATTTAATTTTCCACAGTCCACTGGAAACTGTCGCTCACAAACTAGACATTTTTATTGTTATATTCTTTTTTTTATAGAACGATGTATGTCGAAATCACGAAAGAACGTTTAAGTTACATGAGCCAGGAGGTACGCTCTTCTCGATTTAACTATAGGCATAGTTATTGAGATAACAATTAGTGTATTATACTCGCCACATTATTTAATTGGTTATATTTTTGAAATGTAGCTGACATTATTTTATAATAGTAGATTGGACATAAAGTATCATAAATTATGTAGAAACGAATATTGTTACGAAACTAAGGCTGTGAAGCCAAACCAAAAGTTGATCGGGATCGGTTAGCTTCGTCACCACCGATGCACATTTTGGCAGCCCCTAAAGGAGAGCGTTTAGCAAAAGCCATTTTTTTCATTTGATCAATGAAGTCTATTGTTGAAAAAAAATGCTTATATTAGGGTGTATTAAGCTTCCGGTGGTCGGCTACCGTCTCGACGAATGCTAAAAGTTACATCATGCGGCCATGGTGTCTCCTTTAGTCTAGCTTACAGCAGTAATCGCCGTAGCCCTCGTGCACTAGCTGTTATTTCATTGTAAGCACTGCGCACGAGCAGGAACCGTGGTGTGGGCCGATCACCGTCTAGTCAGAGCCAATCAAGATATGAAACGCGCAGAAACCTAAGTTTAAATAGTCGTGATCGACTCTCAACGAAATAACTCGCTCGTGTGCAGGCCTTGTTTCATTCAGTATTCGCTCTGCCTCCTCTGTTGTAATTTAAGCACGCACTCGCGGGGAGTACGGCGATTAGATACATCGTGTGGCCTCGATTTTTAACCACTCTAGTGAGTGAGCGTTTTTACAATTATTCTTCCCGACCCTAAGCTATGAAATGTGTAATTTTAGACCTAAGAGACTTCGACGATGGACACAATAAAAATTAATTAGTTAGTAATCTACCTTAGACTTAGGCTAAGATTAATGGTTGCTTGTTTGTATGCTGATGCGCCTAAATCTCTGTATAACCTGTACCTTTGCATGTATCACTAAAGTTTTAGCGTAATGTTTCACTAAAAATCACTTTTTTAACATAATCTTTCTACGTGTTATTATAATAAGTGTTGGTACAATTGATCGGTGGCATTATAATGTAGATTTATCTATGTGCTCGTATCATAATGTTTAGAACCGACCCAAAGGGGACCCGCGAACCGATCAGTTGTATACTGATTGTACATTTCATTGTAATGGGTCCGATAATAAACTTTAATACGGCGATGGATTTTTCGATCAATAAGTTTGATCTTTCGTCGTTTAGTTTAAGCGACATTATGTCGCCAGTTTTTGCGGTTTACGAGACAAGTTAAATACTTTTACATTACGTAAACGTTGTAGTAACTAGTAGTTGTAAACCTGCTATTTACTTGGTAACCAATTTACTTAAGGAATCGTGGAAATGATTTTAAATCGAGGCCAATGAAATAATTTCTCTATGTTGCTAGTTGCACAAGTAACTAAGCATAAAGAACTTAAATAGGTTATCATATTTGGTAAAGAAAATACGCCAGAAGGGCATTAAGAAGTGTTTTATTTATTTTGTTGTAAGTAACTAATATTTTTATTATTACGCGGGTAGAGCAAGTCCCAACTGAATTCGTGCTGATAGCAACACCTGTAAGGATACAATAAAAGTTAATATTTCAATTCGTGTTTCTTTTGATGGTTTGGTACAACAGAAAGTTCAAATCATCGGCCTCTGTTCCCATCCTCCAGCATACAATAAAGCTTCATACAGATTTCATTCTTATTTCCATAATACTTTCTGATTGGACTGGGTTTATATTTTTTTTTACTAAGAAAAGTTTGATATGGTCATTTTATTGTTGAGGTTATGTTAAAAATTAGACAATACTTGTTCTTAGATTTTCACTACGCCAGAATGACACTGGATGAGAATGATTGCTTGAAAATGTTTAAAAAAAAAGTGTTATAAAGATTTAGGGTCGAAACACAACTGCAAATCGGCGCGATGCGAATTCGCAACGCAACTGCAACGCTAATTGCTGCAATGCATTTCGTGCCCTGTCACGATTCGGGTAACCATTCTTTCGACGATCGTCAACCTACTAAACGTATTTTTTAAACTAAGGTACCAACATGAATCGTAAAAAGAGTTGCACTGCTGTTATTGATAAGAAAGTATAGGAAAAAAACACAAAGAAGATTAACATCGCAGGAATGTGCGATGCGTCGTGCGAGCTCATAAATTTCTGTTCTGTCTGTCTTTTGTGTTTCGACCCTTACTTTTGAACGCAGCACTACAGCATCGAGATTTCATAAGACTCGTTTATACTTACCATGATTTTTCCGAACATTGAGACAATTACAAGATTTCTAATAACGAAAAAAGTTCAAACGGAAGTGGTCGTAGTAAAAGCCAAAGTAGTCACTCCAACATGTCTTTACATGTCTCGCCGCTGCTCAAGCCTTTTCATTGTCATTTATTATTGAGAGAATCGTTGTTATCTTTTGAAGCTGATTGGTTTTCAGCCAATACTCAATAAATAACTAATAAAACAAATGTTGAGAAGAAAAAATCAATGAATAAGTCGAGCTGGATTCTAAAACAAAATGATAAAAATATCACTGGCCATTTTTTTTCCTGTGCAAAAGATTCAGTAATAGAACACATTAGTGAAATAGAACAAAAGAAAATTTCCCCATTTTTTTTATGTTAATATTTGTCAATAATTTCTAACGCATGGCTACCTCAAAATAGTAAATAAAATTGAGCGATCGGCGCCGAGTTGTCTAGACGCCTAGGCGCCAGCATGTCGCGCCGCGCGACGACAGACCGGCGCTAACGCATCGCGCGTTAGTATTAATACTTTGTTCTGTCAAATACATGAACTCGCGCGCTGACTCCGCCCACTGCCCCACATCGTTCTTGTTGCTATAGCAACGGCGTCTGCTAATCATCGGCTGTCAATATTGTTCACAATTTTTCGGAAAACTGAGACGACATAACTTATTTATTTGACAAGTAAAAAACCGAACAGGGATTTTTCATTTTCATTATACAGTTGCTCCTTTAAAATCATCTCTTTTTTTCCAACTTATATCGGTTATATGAATGAAAATAATATTTTGATTGATAATTCAACTTCAAGATGCATATAAATTTCCATTATCCTGGTCCAAAACGGGCATGGTTCTTGTCTATAACTTATTCCATTTGTCAGTGTCACCTCGTTCACTTTCGTACCAAATTTGTTAGGATTCGTTAAGATACACCCGCTATTCGGACTGTGATAAAATTTGTTTTATTTCTCAGAACTAATGAACAAGTCGAGTTGGCGTTTACCCAAGGAGGTACAATTTTTTTTAAGCATAGGTACTAAATAGTACAATTAGACGTAGTTAAGCAAAAAGGATCCAATCCACAAAATTATCAAAAAATGAGTTATATGTTCCAAACGGTTCCTAAATGGTCACCTATTCGATCAGCAAAGAAATCCAACATATAAACATAAATAGATATCTCTGAAGTTACGTGACATTATAAGTTTTAAAAATAAAACAAGAGTGAGAAACACTTTTAAACTTCAAACTGCCATATCTTGAAAGTGACTGGATGTGCATTGGATCCTTTTTGTTTAACTACGTCCAATTTAGGTACGTACATTTTTAAATTTGATAGAATTCGCGGAATACACCCTCTGGCTCACCTTTCATATACATCTCTTTCGCACAAATCCATCCGTCGTTTCTTTTACCTTTGCACATTCGAATTCTACATCTTTCGAGAATATGACTTTCATCTTCATAACAAAGAATACAGTAATAAAAACAAAAGTTTATTCAATAAAAAAATAAGTAGCAATGCGTAACAATATCACCAGTCTCTTTAAGACACGAGGTATACAACTGCGGAGCGGTAATATTCGTACATTTTGGATGCACCGTTAATTTTTGCACCTCCTGTATTCAATAAACATTGGAAGATTTTGTACATTTTTTTTAATACAGTTTATATCTTTGATCCGTTAACGTTCCTTCTATAGAATTCTTGCGTAAGTTTTAGTTTGCAAGAAATAAACACACATTGCACAATCACTTCGCCTTGCATTTAACTTTTAATACTAGTTGGCGTTTCATTTCTCATATTTGAGGCCAAGCGACTGTGTCATGAAGCACAAGATGTCTGTGTGCTCGTCAATCTGAAAAAGAAATATGTATTTTTTTTATTTTAAAAATAAATGCGAAACAAGAGTCACTATAATGCTAATTATTACTAGATTTTTGTTACTTCTTTTTTCATATTTCTTATTCCGTTTGTAAGTCGTTAATAACGACAACAAATTAAATTTAAAAAAAAACAATTAATGTAAGCAATGTAAACAAAGCAATGTAGATGATTTACATACAGGTTCATACGCAATAGTACTAGCTGTATCGTAGCTTGTGCAAGAAAACGTGTTTACTCACGATCTTGGCGGTGGGTTTTCCGCCACCGTGGCCCGCCTTAGTGTCTATTCTAGCGAGCAGTGGACGTTGCTGCGGGGAATTGCGCACAGCGTGCTGGATGGCCGCCACAAACTTGAGCGAATGTAAAGGCACCACGCGGTCGTCGTGATCTGCTGTTAGCACTAGTGTCGCTGGGTACTCTGATCGCCCTGGGCATGATGAGAAAATGCAATACAGTGTATATACATTTATATTGGTTCGTGTCGACCTTCGAGTTTACTTTTTTAAAAGACTTGAGTAAAATACGTTTGCGGGTTGGCCAGTTTTCGTAAAATTCTTAATAGTTGTTGTAGACAGTTCTGTCGATGTATTGTGAAAGATAAAATTTTGTAAAAAATATGAATGGTGAATGTTATGCCATTCTAATGATTAATATCTTATTTTTTACAGTTGGCCCCCTAGTATCGAAATCAATTCTTGGAGTACAGACGCACATTCTTGTTCTAATGCAAATTATTTATCCATAGTAGATTATCCTTTAATAGATAAAACATCCGCGTAAAAACGACAGTAGGTATAAGTAGCGACGAAAACATCAAACATTGAAACAGGTATATTATTCTGAGCTCTAAAGGAAAGTCGACTGTTCCGAGTTATATTTCGGGGTAAGTACAACTTTCATTATATTTGTAGTATTTTACAAATTTATTTAGTAAGTGATGGAGTTCGCCTATTTATTGTATAACCGTTATCGATATTCAATCGACAATTGATAATTACAGTCAAATATATCGACTGCAATCACTAGCTGCTCTTAGTGGGCAACACTTTTGCGCAATGGTCTGTTATTTTACCCTGTCATGGAAAAAAACGGACTATAGTAAGGTTTTCATAGGTTTCGAAACATGTATAATTACATGAAATACTAACATTAACGGTAATCGAGTAATATTGTTTTCTTTCACATCCTTCCAGAATTTTTAGGCTGATAAAATCTAAAATTTACCATTATCAGGTGTGTGAATATTGTGTAGTGGAGAGTATCGAAGCAGATACTGGAACTGCGTCTCGTTATCGGAGCTGCCGTAGTCTGATACCCACGCGTGCCCGATGGTGAACTTTTGGAACCTTAGCATATCTAACACGCTGCAAACAGAAAAGTGCTATACTTAAGTCTACATAAAAAAAAACCTTAAATTTCGACTTGACGAAGGAGTATGAGCGTTCTTTAACTAGGTATTTTTTGGGGCGAGGCCCAGTCAATATCAATTATTGCCTGAAGAAATTGTACTTTTAATGTTAATTAATATTGTAATTAATTAAGTTGCCAATGAAGCTTGTGGTAGGGTAAAAAAACTCTTAAAATGTTGATAAAGATGTAACTAACGGTTTAAAACAAAAATGAAATTACCACTCACCCGACCTGCACTATAGCAGCTCCATACAAATCTGGCCGCTGATTTATACAAGCCGCCACCAGCAAACCTCCGTTGGACCCTCCTTGAATTGTAATGAGCGAGGGCTTGGTGTATTTCTCTGCTATGAGATATTCCGCGGCCGCTTGGAAGTCGTCAAACACGTTCTGTTTGTTGAGTAGACGACCAGCGTTGTGCCACCGTTCCCCATATTCCCTGTAAAGTTAAAAGTTGTGTTGTAATATTGGTCAGTCTTTTTTAAGTAATTTCAGAATATTCACTGATTTCACACTCATAGAGCGTCAGCATTTTGCTCATAGTCTTTTAAAATTTACTGATATTGCGACGCGTAGGGAACTTATTGGCCCTCTATGACACTGGAAAGTTGCTGGTGTATATAAAAGCAAAAGTTTTCTTTTCTTAAATCCCAGCTATTTTATTTACCGATATTTGCTGTACTTTTTATTATGCACTTTTTACACTTTGTAACGAAGTTTTATGAATAAATTTATTATTATTTTAGGGTCAATGCAAGTTTATATTTATGTACACTATAACTTGGACCTTTTCAAGGCGAGAGTGTATAGGTGTGCAGCTACATCGTCAACCTCATCGCCACTTTCCATCAAGTGAGATGGAGGTCAAAAGCGCACTTATTTTTGTACAAAAAAATGTAGTCTTTACACAGAAATAGACCTTACAAATATACAATTACGAGTTCGAGATAAATTTTAAAATGTAACGGAAGATTAACCATACGTTATTTACACTAACAGTGCTAATCGCGAAATAGAATAGTATGTAATAACACACCCTCCACCCCTAATATTCGGTATGGCGACAACGCCATTGAAGTGCTGCATGAAGACGAGTCGCGTAACACTGAAACTCGGCTGGATATTAATGTTGAATCCGCCATAGCCGTAGATGAGTGCCGGGTGCGACCCGTCGCGAGGCAGACCCTGAAAATAAACAAAAATATTAATAAAATTCATGCGCTATACCACAAGCCATATCTGTCTTTAAGTGTTTATACAACCTCAAATGGCTTTGGTTGATTCCACATAACAGTGAAAGTCATAACAGTGAAAGTGTTGAATCAGTCGCTTTGGAAAAAATATATCAAAATAAAATAGAGAATATACACCGTTGACTTACAAATAAATGGACGACGGGTCTAATACAAAAACCACGAAAAAAATGTCCCAAGTCAACCTATTTAAACGTAGTGACATGTAAAGAAATATGAAAAAGCTAAAACGTTGAATTTAAATTGTAATATCATCGCAGTACTGTCTAATTTTGCTTCACTGTCAGTCGAACAAACGAAGACTAAAGCGTGAATGACGCTCTGTGTACGATTTTAACGCCCTATGTGTATGCCTATGATATACACTGCTTACTATACGGTGTGAAAACACGGTTCCTAAAACATTTTCACGATATAGAAAAAACCCAAACTTACCTTGAAATTGCAAGAAAACAGCTGGATTCAATAGGTACTTTACATATACCAATTTTTTTTTAATATAAACTGAACTAAATAGAACCGTATAGCATACGGTATACATTTTTCAAATGGGTTTAATTTCGTTAGTAAAACATAAATTCTGAAATAAAGCCAGTGTCTACCGCACGACTCAAGCAAAATGAAGCGTAAGGAAAAAATTTGAATTCGAGATAGTATCGACTCTTGATAACTTACAACGCTAATACCGATAACTTCAAAAAGTTTATAATATCACAACAAGGCAGTTTCATAAAAAAAATTTTAGCTGTAGAGCTTCTTGTGAAACAGTTCGTCCAAAGAAATACTGCCACATTACGTATTTCTGCCAGGTGTTGCAACAGACGCGTCCAATCAGATCGAAAGAAATTTTATTTGTTGTACGATGTTTGTATCAACAATAATAACTAGTGGAGTATAATTTTCACAAAAAAAAAAAAATGAATATCATGGTAGTAAAACGATAAATTTAAAAATCACCTTTTTCGAAACGATGAACATAGGAACTTTAGTGCCGTCTTTGCTAGCGTAGAACACCTGTTTAGCCACATATTTTGATGCGTCGAAATCCTTCACTTTTACTTCTCTGAATACCTGAAAATAATTAAATAGTGTAATTATCATACCATTTTAATTATAATCTTATATTATAGTTGTTGAGTTTGAATTTGAATCGTATAGTAAGTGGCACAAAATTGAATTTAATGTTAACTGTGAAGCCTAAGTCTTGACTACGTTCTACCAATGATTGACTACACTGTCTTATCAAATAATCTATAAACAATTTAAAAGATGTGACATAAGTATCTTTATGTTATTCTACACAATATGTAATGTTCTCCCTCTAAACAATACATCTTTAAACGACAAATTATTAACGAATTCGATTACGATTCTACATCAAGGTTACAATTACTAGATTGTTCAACTTGCATTTCGCTGAAGTTTATTGTGTATCTGTAAACAATATTATTGGAGTTAGTCAACTTATAATTTGGATATGAAATCTTAGATAGTAGATAATCATTGTCCTAGTAAAACGACTAACTACATTTTTTTGTGGAACTTATGAGCATAGCGTAATTTCGATTCACATAATCCATGATCAGTAGTGCGATTCACGTAAGTTCAAGCAATCGAAATATCGTTGAAGTTACATAGTCATTCGATCGAAGTACTATCCAAAATGGGTATTCACGTGTCACTTGAACGAACGTTCATATGAGTAGAATCGAAACGTAACGAATAATGAACGACATCTTGGATTGTGAAATTTGACATTTAGTCGTCGCAAGCAATTGAAACAACTGTCAAAATTTTAACAGAATACCTATGACTTGTCGTTTAGAGTCAATTTAAGTTCAATTCATATACCAGAATACGCTTTAACGACATTTGCATCGATCGACTTTAAAATTGGACTCGTTGCCATTCACTGTCACACGTGAATAGGAAAAAGCAGTTCAACGACTAAATCGCTACGATATCGTAACGGTTTGACTACGTGAATCAACCCCAGAGCTTTTTCAAGATCCGGTTACACTTGACCGTTCGCCAATTCGGCGAAAAATCTGCTATAGCCGACTGCCTTTGTTTGCTTTTGGTTGTTGGAGGCAGTTGTTCTACTCCTTTGTTTCCACATCGGTCGCTAGCCGAAGTTGTCCTGATTACCTTGGTATTACTCGGTTATTGACCGCAGTCGGCATGACCGCTTTTGTTTACTTTTGGTCGCTGGCACTATCGTTGCGACCAGGCGCCTTTGTTTACATTCGGTCGTTGGTAATTAATAATAATAACGCACACACTCAACATAGCCCCGCACTGGGTAAAGCCTAAGTCGCGGGTGCCATGGACACACAGACAACCACAAATTACACCCAAACTCGAAGAGAGAAATAAATGTAGGCCATACAAATATTTCTCCCGGCTCGGGAATCGAACCTGGGACCTCTGCGTGGCAGTCCGACATGGTAACCGTTCGGCCACAGAGGCAGTTAATAGATAGGTCATTGAAATACTATGTTACATATTACATACCTCCAACGAAACTACTGTTTACAAAAGTAACAGAAAATGAAAATAAAGTTGGCGCTTTATTGTCATTTTCTGTTATTTTTGTAAACAGTCATATTTATTTACTAATATTACGCTCCCCGAATTTAGTGAAAAACAATAAAGAAACAAAAACAAAATTCAAAAAAAAAACAAAAATATATTTTAACGAATTCTGTTAAAAAAAAGATATAAAAACAGAACAGGTCCAAAAATTAAGTTGGCGTAGTGTTCATTGGAGGTACCGATATAAGGAATTAATCCTTATAATTGACCCTTTCGATAGCATCATTAATATATAGTTTATTTTTTTATTTCACATTTGGTCTGTTTGTTCCCATATGAAGCAAACCACTTTTTAAGTCTGTATGCGGTATTATACACATTTTACTAAAAGTAATGTCGTTATGAAGCAACATATCCTATCTACAGTAATTAGGGTAATTTCCCTCCGTGTCCCATAGCCGTGAGACGCCCTGTCTAGTCGGTTAGTAACAAAGGATATTCGAGCACCTTAAGGTTTGTCAAATAGTGATTTTTTTTTAACGCGTAGCACATACCGTTGGCTCGAAAGGCTGCTTCTTAAAGTCGACATGGTAAATGATCCCTGGGGTGAGGAAGGACATGAAGTGGTAGAAGATCTCGCTCTGTTGTCTCTTGCCGGAGAAGCCAACTATCGAACCCACGTCCAGGTCAAATGTTTGGATGAGTTCGCCGGTTTTTAGACTGTGCAGTTGAAGGACACTCTGTGAAGAAAGTATTTAAAACTGTTTAAAACAGTAAGGGAAAACTAGTTTTTGTCATACACTAAGTTAAACATACTTACTTGTACTACGGATGGCATAGATAAATTACATCTATAACAATATGGCTCTAAGTATATTTAGAACGACAGACACATTAAAAGATGATAGAGAAAACATGAGCAGTGGCGGTTTGCGTTTTAGCTTATATCGGAATAAATTGCCGAGTCCGAAAATTCCCTCGACTATCTGTTACGATGTTTTATACATTAACCTGAGTTAGGGCTCTTACACATAAACACGATACGATATCGTGTCTGTGTGAAGAGCCTTAAACACGGTACGACGTCGCGTCGTGCAGATGACGATTAGCGCCATCTACCTAGATTAGGAAGCGTTAATTTATAATTTAGTTTGTAACACACAATGCCATCTATTGACACGCATATTTGAAGTTCAGAAAATAATTTAAACTTATGTTCAATATTTGAACAATATTAAAAGGAAAAAATAATTGACTTCTTATATTTCATATTAAAGAGGAATTAATTGATATCCACGGTCATTTATATAATATGTACTATCTGGAGGCTATTGACCAGCACCATCTAGATGTAAGACGGAATTTTGACTTTTTCCAAAGTTACGATCTCGTTATTTGTTGAGTTACTGGTTCAATGCTATCATGAAATTAATTTATTTTTTGTGAAAATACTCCACTAGTTTGTTATTTACTATTAAACACAAAGGAAATCGCCCTCCTTCCGACCGAACAAACCAGCGTCTGTTGCCATGACGTGGCTACCGCTCTTGCCAACTAAGCTACGGATCGAGCCGTATTTATTATACATGTTTAATATAGTGTGACCTTTACACAACGCTTACCCTTAATTAATGCGCGCACACACTCATAGCTCCGCACTAGGAAACCCTGTATCGCGGGTGTCATGGATACACACATAGATAACCACAAATTACACCCAGAATCACGAGAGAAATAAATGTAGACCATACAAATATTACGCCCGGGAATTGAACGCGATGAGTGGTAATCCAGCATGGTAACCATTCTGTCACGGAGGCAGTTAAAACTTGAGTTCTATCTTATATTATTTCATTATTAAAATAGAGTATCTGGTTGCTTAACAGTGGAATGGCAATACGAACAAATAAATATATTCTAATTTTATTGGCTATTAAAGTGAAATGAATTAATATTTTCTTACCTTAACATCTCTGATGTAATGTATGACTAATTTGTCATTGTCTACGGCAGAAGTCCAGTCGAGAACATCGCTGGAATGTTCCTGAGAAAACAAAAATATGTTAACTATTGCCAGACATATGCACTGTGTAACTAACTACTCGCAAAACTATTGAAGAGAAAGAAAATAACGTAAAAGTTAAATCCTATATGGCAGTTGTATGAACATTACTACTGCTTGAAGATTTATTTTATGATTATTCCAGGGAGTTTTATAATAATTAATTTTTCACTTATCGACTAAATTTTATTATTTTGTTTGTATTTTAATGTTATATTATTTTCATTGTTGCATGTTCAATTAATTAATTTTGATTGTTTTTTATTTAATAAAATTTTAGTAATGTATTTTTTATACTAGTGTGTCTTGCCAAATATAACATTTTTTACAAGGCCAGTAAATGAATTTAATTGTTTCGTCTCAATAACAGAAAAGATACTAGCCTCATATGCTTATACTTGGACATTACACAAGCTATATCTTTTGACATATTTTTAAAAATGGAAAGTATAGAACTGAGTTTAACGGATAACCACTAACAAAGTAATATCAGCGCGTTGTATGAAAGAGACGGCATGCATTAGTGTACCGTGTATACTGGGTAAATAGAGTACGGTGGCGTAAGTTATAAAGTGCTATTACAATAATTTCGAAGCGTGTTTTGTTTGATTCCGCAATTTCAGCTTTCCATATGTCAGTAATATAATGGAGTCTTACCGGTATAAGGGTTTCCCAATTCTCCTCAGCATGGTTGTTAAGGTCGATCTTGATCAACCTGTAGTTGGGCGCATTTTTATTCGTGCGGAATAGACATACTGAGCCTTCGTTTGTTACATACTGAAAACAACAAAATGCTCTGATAATGATGCTTACTGTATGTACATAAAACAGTGACATATACTGTATCATATTTTGACGACCTCTGTGATCGAATGGTTTTCATGATGTCGTCATCTCCGAGGTCCCGGGTTCGATCCCCGGCCGAGTGAATGTAGAAAAATTTTGGCCAAGTTTAAATGACCGCGATCGCGGAAACAAGTGCGACAATCGCCGCGCGTCTTTCGTCACGTCTATCACGTGTCGATCATGGCAGCTAAGTCAAAACTGTTTCGTGTGTCATGTTGGTCGCCACCCGGCCTCACCATTATGTTACAAGCCACGTCGTGTGCGAACCCACTAATTTTTAAACGAAAATCTATGACTTTTGCGTAATACCACAATACAATTAAAAACAATGCGAGTAACATAATCTACTTATGAATAATTTATCCATTAATGTAGTGACGAAAGAATTGACTGATTTATATCGTTCGCACCAATAGAGACGAAATGTCATTTAATTTGTTTGATAACTATTCTGCCAAATCATTACGGTGCAACTGCGCTCCGATTGGCCAGTCCGAATTCGAAACAATTGACGGGTGTCGTCAATTGCTTAACTTCAAAACGACCAGTTCAACTTGATCTTTGCTATAATGGAAGAAAATTGAAAAATGACACATTGAATATTAAATTACCGATGAAATGTGTTTTTCTCACACCACGGAACGGAACAGCAGCCCATTGTTAGAGATATTATCTTTATTACAATAAATACAGAATATTTTTGGAATATACGGGGACGTACACACAGGTCAGTTGTTGGCGTTGTACTATTTCAGCGCAAACGAGAGTTGATATTTAAAAATGAAGTGAGGCCCATTTGTCTAATGAGTTGCCGGGGATGGATGGCCCTTACTTCGCTCTATTTCTGGTTGTATACTCCATAAGTGAGAGAAACATTTCTCCAAAGTAAAAACAAAATCTTAAGTCTTCTTCATTTATGGGTGACATTTAAATTGGGCGTACCTCGTAGTCAGCCTCGAATTTATGCACGATCTGTGTGAGAGGCAGCTTGCCGGTGATCTCTTTCTTGTCGCTCAGCTCCGCGAAGAACAGCAAGTTGTCGCGACAGTCTTTCACTGGGGAAACTATGAGGTACTTGCCGCAGTCAGTCACTTCTGCGCCACTGGAATTTTTATTTACGAACGTGTCAAAAATTAGTTTAAAAAACGTTCTAACTGAAAAGAAAATATGTTTGAACTATGTATGTGTACCTACAGCATCCAATAGTCATCATTTGAATGAAAAAAAATTAAATACTTTCTTCATCATTCATAGAGTCTACGTACAAATATAGTATATAATTCTACCCGATTTTGCTTATATTACGAGGTAGAAAACTTGAGCACATCTTTACCTTTGTTGGCACAGTCAAGGCCATTGGATGCTTCAGAAAACAAAAAATCTACCCAACATTTCCGGTACCACTAAATACCCAAGTACTAATTTACAATGAATACTAATCAAATTAACTATTAAATTTTTTTTACTATGTTTGTTCAAAGTGTACATGTACAACAAATGTCTACGTCGTAGAGGCAAACATACGCGCGTCTGTCCACCATTGTCAGCATGTTGGTATTGTTATAACTGTCAATAACGAAACAGCATGTTAGTATAAAAAAAAGAAGAAAAAAATACTATCGGACATATAATTCGAGTCACTTTACATTTTTATTTTTAAAGGCCTAGTATATACTAATTAAAGAAAAAGATCTACCGGTTTTATAAATTCAAATTTTCAACAAAGACATAATGGAAATGACGTTTAGTATACCAGTTACAAAATTGCTAGTTTTTGTTCATATCGACTACTTAGAATTTTTTTTATCTTTACACTTTTCATCAATCAAACATTTTTTAAACGTTGGCCATTTATTACTGAAAACGGAAGGTGGCTCAAATGTTATGCATCCGAAAGTGACCCAACACTTTGAACAAACACTTGACACGTGTTTTTGGAATTAATCAATAATCATCAAATTTTTTTGAGAAGGCTCCGACTAAAAGTGAAGGTCTAATATTTTCATTAAAAAATGATATAGGATGTAATATATATCAGTACAGCTCCTTTTGAAAGAGTTCGTCCAGGCAAGTACTGCCACCTCATCTATTTCTTCATGACTGTGTTCTGGTTTTGAAGTGTAAGGGTGCTGATGAACAGGCACATGAGACTTGTCAACTTATGTCTCAGGGTGACGGGCGCAGTGGCAGTGCTTCTCAGATCGATCGTTGCGATTTAAAGCTCTGAGTGGCACTGCAACTGTTATAGGACAGGCGTGTAGCTTACCATCAGGAGAACGACTTGTTCGTCCCGTCACTTGATATTATATATATATATATATATATAGACATTTTTATGTTTTTATTTAGTGTCCAATCTGCCGTCCACTAACTAATCAGTTATTTGACAACCATTTTAAATAGCAAAACATAGAGCACAAAATTCTGTTTAAAAACAGTTAACATTAGTTAACGTGTTCACCTTATCGGAACTAACCCTAAGGGTGCATAGCTGGAATATCATCAAACACTTTCAATATTTAAAACTGGATATCATAAAAAACTGTATAATTATCAAAATAATAATAATAATAATGTAACTAAAGGTGTAATGTTGTGGACTGTGTTGTCTGAAGGGAATAAATGAATATGAATATAAAAAAAACCATAATTTTTATGATATCTCAAAAAATATTTTGTGACTTAAGTGGTTTGAGTTGGCGGACGGCAGAAATTTGTGGCGATTTCCTGCTAACGCTAAATCCAGGCATGAATCACTTACATCCTCCAAAGAGGCTCTTCGGGGAACTCGACGACGATGACGTCATCGGCCTGTGGCGTATTGAGTCGGTGGTAACAAAGCTTCTGGTCGCGATTTAGCTCAGTCTCTGACCCATCCGCCTTACCAGTTTGCTCGGGGTATCTCTGGATAAGAATAAAAAGTTGCCTAAGATTAAATTTTTATTAGCGGTATCTGAAACTGATTAGTTTACTTAGTTAATAGATTCAGGGGTTACTTTGCAGAAGTGAGGTTATTAAAAATGGAAGTAAAATTTGCTATTGAGGATGCCTCGTAAAGAGACTAAACACTTGTCGGTTATATTTTGGTGGTGGTATCTGTGACTGTACTTGCACTTGCGATATAGATTTCATTTATTTTATACAGTGGGAGGATGCGAAAATTAAGTGAAAAAGAGTTCGTCAAGGGAAGTACTGCCACGTTGCCTATTTCTGCCGCCAAGCAGTAACGGTTTTGAAGGGTAAGGGTGCTGGTGAAATTACAAGCACATGGGACTTGTCAACTTAAGCCTCAGAGAGATGGATGCGACGGCAGTGCCCCTTAGATCTTTGCGATTTAACGCTTTGGGTGGCACCGCAACTGCCGCATATTTTATTTAAAAAAAAAATCAATACCAGCGTAGATATTTTATACGATTTAACGCGTTTACAGTACCGCATAATAAGGATCGAAAACAACCCCGGAAGTCCTGGTGGACTTACGGGGTTGATTTCGATTTTTTCTCTCGAATTCCGATGAATTCGTGTGAAATAGAAATTTACTCTCATTATCAGTGATCAGAATTGAGGAAGTTCATTTACCTATGAACGTTATCATAGCATACCCATTTTGTCATCAATGCGTATAAAATTTCTTTTTATTGGGAATTGAACCCAGGACCTCATCTAGCACTCACAGCTCAAACCTTTAGGCCACTGAGCTCATTAAGTTTACAAGTTACAAGTCAATCAATATAATCTACTTATAATGAATTTCAAGAAATGGTCATTTGAAGAAGCGGTCAATTCAAGAAGTGGTCAATTCATTTTTAATTGTGGTCATTTCTCATTGCGGCCCTAAACCGCCGAAAGGGAAATTTCATATACGTTGACCATCCCGTATCGTATGATGAAGTGTGTACTTACAGAATAAAACAAGCCTTTGTTGTCTTTCGTCCACGACATCGACGCAAATTTGACTTTCTCTAAAATTTCGGGGTAATCTTTTCCTGTAAAGAATTTTATAGTTTATTACTTGATTAATATTATTATTTGTGTATTGTTATAGAGCAAAACATTCCACTTTTTTAACCGACTTCAAAAAAGGAGGAGGTTCTCAATTCGACTGTATGTTTTTTTGTTGTATGTATGTTACGCGATAACTCCGGTATTTGTGAACCGATTTTCATGATTCTCTTTGTGTTGGAAAGGGGGTACTTCCATAGTGGTCCCATTTCATTTTGAAGAAAATCATCCACCTCTAAGTGTGGCTGTTCACGCATGAAGATTCATTTTTATAAATAGCGCCTAAATTTTACTAAGGATTAATTATTTTAATGGTTAATTTTGCTATTTCTCCAATTCAAGGCGTTTCTCTCTTCATATACCTTGAGTAGTGAAAACTGATTTTTATTATCTCCAGTGTCAAGTCCTGTATAGTGGTGAATTTAAGGATATTTCAATAAAACTTAGCAAATAGACGTAATTCCACGTACTTTTGAGGTCGGTTTTTTTAGTACTCTGTACTGAGATTATTACATTAACAATTCTAAACTGAACATTTGTAACACATTTGTTTATTTGCAAATTTCTTTAGCGAGCAGTCGCTACAATCTTAATTAAGCGTGCGGCCGAATCAATCTAATGCGAATAATAATTTTTTTCTTGCTCTGCCCGACATCCTTATTCTCGTATATTTAATTACTTTGTATTTTTAAGTTTTTAGTTTTCTATTTTTATATTGTTGTTGTTCTCTTACGATACGATCTCCTCCACATTTAATTTATTGTAGCTACACACTGACGGATTTTGTTCCATTACACTAAAGGCGATATTCGAACAAAAGTGTACACCCTATAAGTCTCAGTGAACCAATAAATAAATATTATAGCACTTCACCATATATCTCGACAATTAAAATTCCGTCAAAGTTACCTGTAGCAACATCCTTCAAATGTATCGTGATCCAGTCTGACCCACTGGCCGATAGCCCGTAGGCAAAAGTGGACCCATCTTCAGTGAATCGACTGCCCGACAGTGCGATCGTGCCGTCTTCTGATAAAGTGTTAGGATCTAGAAACACACGCGGCTCGCCATCTAAGCTGTCTTGGACGTACAGGACACTGAAACAAAATTGTATATATTTTATTGTTTAACTTTGTTTACTTATGTACATATTTATAGGAACGCTGCAGAATTAATAAATTAATTATGAAAACAACGTTCATATTAACCACATAGGTATGTCAGGACGTTTAATCGAATTAAAAAAATATATAGAAGATAAATTGCTATTTAGACGAGATAAAAATGAAAATGTGAATAGTAATTTCCATGGTAGTTTTAACAATATCGACCGTAAGTGATTGAATGAATTAATGCTATCACTGCCATTCCGCTGGCACTTTATCGAGATTCAACTACCATAGGACCTAGATTTTAGTATATTAAGGAACATTATCATAATTGCAATATAGGTAAGGTAGTAGTACTTCCCTGGACGAACTCTTTTTACAAGTACCTCTACTGCTACTAATGTCTATGTTTATATCTTTCTTTCTTTCATTATAATTATTGTACATAAGTGAAAAGAATAACTCTCAACTTGAAATTTCACATTCTGTTTGAAATCAAACATCATCGATCCATTGTATTTCATTGCATTTAGTTTGTGAACCATCGACATGCAGGTTTACTTTACTATGTTTGTTTTCCTTATATTTATAGATGGATAGATAGATAAAAACTTTATTCACTTCCATGACCACTTATTTGCATAGGATCCACTAAAACTAAAACTATAATAATTATTATATTGAACCACTTAAAATAACAAATTTTTATGACAGAAGGAAAGTATAACTACAAATAACTATCATTATTAATACAAAGATCGAACACTCAGAAAAAATTCCTTCGATCCGGCCGGATTCGAACCGACGTCTTCTAGCTTACCGTGCCAGACGCTATACCAACTAAGCCACGGAATGAACCAGTGGACCTCACGAATTTTTCTATGTGCTTGGGTCATGTCTTTGTATTTGGTTTTTTCAACGACTTTTTAGTCATCGCGCCATCTATGAGAAATCTATGAAAGATTTATCACTCAGTTAGTACCTTTACAGCTACCAGTCCTGGCGAGAGATGTCGCTATTCACTGTATTTTAAATTTTTATTGAATTGATATTCAATATTTCTTGTGAAATTACTCCTCTAGCTTGTTATAATTATTAATACAAAGATCGAACACTCAGAAAAAATTCCTTCGATCCGCCCGGATTCGAACCGAGACGTCTTCTAGCTTGCCGTGGCAGACGCTATACCAACTAAGCCACGGAACGAACCAGCACACCTCACGAATTTTTCTAAGTGCTTGCGTTGTGTCTTTGTATTTAGTTTTTACAACGACTTTTTAGTCGTAGTCATCTATGAGAAATCAGTCAGTTAGTACATTTACAGCTACCATACCATGTCAGCCGGAAGACGTCCACTGCTGAACATAGGCCATTTTGAATTTTTTTTGAAGGGCAAGGGTGCTGGCAATTACAGGCACATGGAACTTGTTAACTTATGTCACAGGGTGTCGGGCGCAGTAGCAGTGCCCCTAAGATCTTTGCGATTTAAAGCTTTGAGTGGCATTGCAACTGTTATGGACAGGCGTGTCGCTTACCACCAGGCGCAGGACTTGTTCGTCCCGTAGCTTTGTATTATATAAAAAAAATTTAAAAAACAATAAAAATTTAAGTTAATACTTACGTCTGGTTCTGCAGACCAGTATTTTTAAAGAAGAAGTATCGGTCTCCTCTTCTAAAGGGACACGAATATTTAGGATAGTTCCATAGCTCAGTAAGCCTCGCGTGAATATCCTGTTTGATAGGGCAGGCATCTAGATAAGGCCGGGTGATGTTGTTTTCTGCCTCAATGAACTCTTTGGTCTCCTTCGAGTCTGGGTTTTCGAGCCACCGATAAGGGTCTTTTATCTGTGGAAAAAAGAGAAAAATGAATGCCAATACAAACAGTCCGTTGTTTAACATATTTGCCGCAACAAAAAACTGAAAACTTAAAATAATAACGTTTATTTTAATTATGAGACCATTTTTTTTATTACCAAGTCTTGTTTTCGAGTTGTCAGGTGCTTATTAAAAAGTAAACCGCGCAGTTTATTTTTTAACTTTTTTTTTTTTTTTGTTAGAAAGTGGGTACCTCAATAGCGGTCAATTTTGTTTCATAATACCAAGTGACGGGACGAACAAGTCGTGCGTCTTGTGGTAAGCAACACGCCTGTCTTTAAATCAGAAAGATCTTAGGGGACTGCCACTGCTTCCATCACCGAGACGTAAGTTGACAAGTCCCATCACCCTTCAGCACCATTACCATTCAAAAAGGGAACGCAGTAATGCTCACATTGCAGCTTAGAGGCAGAAATAGATACTGACATAAATGGATGAACTTTTCACTAGGTACTCTACTGCTACCATTTAAATTTTAAGAAAATATTCTACATCTAAGAGTGGTAAACTAAGAAATGAATCTGTCTGATTGAATTTCACCTGCTTTCTGTTAACAAATTTTAATAAAACACACTCACAGGTGTAGCACCAATGAAAATAAAAAGTTATCGTAACCTAGAGCTGATGTGATGATGGAAATGGCAGATAGATGAGAGGAACTCTTCAACAGTGTACAGCAGCTACCTAGTGTTTGGGCTCATTCCGTTTTGACTTCAATTTGCATTTGAGTAGAGGGGCGTCGCAACAAAAAACAATAAGTTACATTTTGACTTGATCTTCTTTTATAATGCCAAATGGTAGTATTTATACGTTCCTGTGAAAAATTTATACAACTTGAAGAGCAACCGTTAAATCTTCCTTCAAAATATTATTATGTTTCAAATGGACGAATCTGATTACCATGCGACAAATCCGTTTAAAGAGAGTATACAAAATTAGAATAAAATTTATCGGATTTATCAGTTTTTGCTCGGAAGCCCCTCTTGTCGTTTATCGTACGCGGCAACCAGGTCACTAAAAGCGGATAAAAAAGTTTCGAAGTCAATTTTTTTTAAATAGTTTTTCTTGTATATGCAACTAATGAGCACGTGTCGATGTTTCGGTTTTGGGTATGGTTTTCTCGCATCGAAATTGCCGTTTTAATATCGTCGAAACTATTCATGGTGAAATGTGTGAACAATCATATTTTCATTACCGTGTGAAACAAATTCTTTTGTTACGTACCATAATTAGAGATGTACCAATGCCTGAGATTGCTTTTCTTTCTATATTTAATTATATTACAAACGGGTTGACAGCCCGTGACCAGTGCAACCTGGCCGAAACTAAAAAGCTGAAAATTATTAAATTTATATTTTATTTTGATTGAAAATCATCATATTTTTTACTATAAATCATTATAGATTAGACAGAATAGACTGCGTATAAACTCGATCTATTTTTTGTGTAACTAGACTAGTTTGTTGTTATTATTTTATATTATTATTATTCACAGATCGAACAAACACAAAGAACAATTCCTTCGATGCGGCTAGGTTTGAACCAGCGTCTGTTGCATCAACGTGGCTACCGCTCTGCCAATTGAGTTAACAGACACAGGTTCGAGTCCTTTTTTATTTGTTTATGATACCAAGTGCCGGGACGAACAACTCATGCGCCTGGAAGCCTGTCCATAGCAGTTCCAGTGCCACTCACAGCTTTAAATCACAAAGATCTGAGGGACACTGCCACTGTGCCCGTCACCAAGTGACATGAGTCCCACGTGCCTGTAATGTTACCAGCACCCTTTACCCTTCAAAATCGTGACGTAGTAAGGCTCATATTACTGCTTTGCGGCAAAAATGGATAAGCTGGCAGTACTTCTTTCACAAGGATCTATACTGCTACTAAAAGTCTTAAGTACAGTAGGATCAAGAAAATTTATTTTTATTTGTGTTTGTTCCAACTTCGTATCAATAATGTCTTTACTCGGCTGTAACATTAGATTATGTTAGCTTCATTGTTTTTTACTTTTTGTTTTACATTTTCTTTGATTTTTTTTAACCGTCTTCAAGAAAAGGAGGAGGTTCTCATTTCAACTACATCTACATCTACACGAACTAGGGGATGAATCCGGGTTTGCGCACTTTCTACCGGAAACCGATTTCAATAAAACTTGGCAAATAGATGTAATTCCACGTACTTTTGACGTCGGTTTTTTTAGTACTCTGTACTGATTATTTTTCTTTTTCTTTCTGTATATTTTCGTGTTGTGGCGTTGTAATAAATGAGTTCTATTCTAAATTTATTTTATAGCGTTTATCCCCGTTATTACATTGCATCGCGAAAGTTTAAAAACTGATCTTGTTTAGAGATGGGTTTTTACCCGATAAATATCCGTCAAACGATAAAAATCCAATAAATATCCGTTTTTACTGAGTATTTCTCCTAAAACATGGATATTTATATTTTTGTGTTTTTTATAATTAAATTCATTAGAATTAATTTTTTATTAAATAGTTACGTAAGATTACTACTCATTTTGCTATTGTTTTATGTAACAATACTGTTTTAGTACCTACATTTTCGAGTCGATAATATCTCACTAACTGCGGTAGAAATGTAAACTAATTGCAACATATTCACCTAAACTTTTATCAACATAGAACTTGGCTGGTATAGAAAATTCGATTGACAGAAAGTAATCAAATTAACTATAACCCTTGAACTGATCTATCTTGCGTTAATAAAGTGCGACCTAACTTTATGGTCTACTGAGTACTAAATAAAGTCATGTTTGAACTTGAAACAGCCTAAGGATCCTATTTCGCATTTCACACACAAAATCTATTAATTAAAACACATGATATAAAAATAAATGTTTACAACTCTCCTTAGCGGCTCTCTACGTCTCTTTCGCACTCATGTAAATTATTCGGTAGCGAATTTAGGCTTTGGCAAAATAGTGGCCAAGTGATTTTGAATTGAATTTCCTTTGCATTAGAATTAAATTTCATTTAAGTATTCCAATGAAGTCCGTATAATTTTTAAAAATAAAATATTGAACATATGTACAAAAACGGACCAACTTAGTAACTTGAAAAAAAATTCCATACAAAATGTTAGACAGCTGATTAATACTGTGTGAAGACAATTGCACAGGGCTTTACGGTACTTAAAAGGATTCTTTTTGTCACTGTGAATAGAAAAAAGGTATAACAAGCAATATACACGTACATGCTACTAAATTGTATCAATATTTTCATTAAACTTAAAAATATACTTTATTTTACTAAATATAAATAATAAACAACGATTAAAAATATTTATCCACGTTTTTGGATAAATATCGAGTAAAAATGGATAAATATGGATATTTATCCAAGGCCCATCTCTAATCTTGTTACATTTGTTTGATACTGCATAATAGCATTAAAATCAAGGTAACTGCATTAATTCTTGACCTACAACTTAAGACCTCGGTGCTGTGACATTGTGACATTGCGATACCTGGCTTGTACTTGAATTTATAGAGGAAAACAAAAGCTTTAATATGTTACAACTTACATTCGTATGTTTATAACAAAACTGCACTAGTTATATATAAATAGAACACGCGTCAAGCAAAACTGGTTCTCTATCGTTACAAAGGGTTTTTTTTAACTATGACTGTCAAATTGATTATAATATTAAAATTGCTTTAAGTTGATTGTCCTTTAACACCGCGCCGCCGCATCTGACTAGCACCCACTCACACCGAAACAGACTATTATATTAATTTCGTCGGTAAGCATACCAGACTTGCATGGTAAGTATATTACAAAAATGTGAAAAATAATGTATTTAGTACATTATTGCAGAGGACGGGAAGTAAGGGATTAACGGCAATTTTTGGTGGAAATAGGCCGGCGAGATTCTCGTCTCGTCTCGCTTCGCCGGTGGAAAACCACCTTAATTCACACTAACGCGACAACGGGTGATCATAGCGCGCAACATTCATTAGTTCGAGAAAACATAATTGGTGTAATGGATTAGCACTGTATGTACTATATATGTGTGTGTACGTATTTACCACACGTGGATTTAAATTATCACATTATCCTGACTAACATCTTACGTACGACCCACACAATATACAATGGTGCGACCTGCGCCTCATACAAATGACTTATTATCGGTGAGTAGAAGTTTCAACTAGTGCTCTAATGATTGGCTGTATATGTAAAAAGTAGATACATGAATGTTTGTTATCTTCTTTATTTACATTGATGAATAGTAGTATAAACATAAGGTCCATTGAAAATGAAAAAAAAAATTCCGCATTTCAATCGTAAAATTTTATTTCAGGTTAAACAAACCGACGTTTGTAGTCCCACGGTCACGGCGCTGACTGAGATGGTACAGTCATCAATCAGTTATGTCTAACATTAATGCAAACCGCTCTATAGTTCCCCACAGTTACAGTTATTAATGTAAGTACCTCATTTTTAATTCACTAAAGAATATTCCTGTAAGTGGCAGTAGAGCTCCTTGTGAAAGAGTTCGTCCAGGGAAGTACTGCCGCCTTACCTATTTCTGCCGCCAAGCAGTAATATGAGCATTACTGCGTACTGGTTTGGAAGGGTAAGGGTGCTGGTGAAATTACAGGCACATGGGATTTGTAAACTTACGCATCTGGGTGACGGGAGCAGTGGTAGTGCCCCTTTGTGATTTAAAGCTCTGAATGGCACTACAATTGTTATGGATAGTCGTGTCCCTTACCACCAGGCGCATGACTTGTTCGCTCCGTCACTTGGTATTAAAAAAAAAGATTATAAGTGAATGAATGAAATACTCCTTATTGCACATTATGACATTACAATAACGGAATAGTGTGAACGGAATAGTAGTAATGTGAATATGACTGGATAAGCTAAAGTACAGACGGCGGCACAGCAAGCTGCATATCGACAAATCTTGTTCCGTTGTTGCACTGAAGGCGATATTCGAAC